TGTCCTAGTGCTGTTCAGGTACCCAGAGGGTCTTTTGACCTCTCTCTTCTCCTACCCTTTCTCCCTTCAGAGAGGCCCCAGGGGCTGGGAACATGCCCAGGCCATATTGGTAGCTAGCACAGCCCACTACCAATTCACAGCTGTGGTAGTGGGCAGCCTTGGCACTGGTACTTGGCAGGCTCTCTTGGCTCCCAGTAGAATGGTACTTTGTCTCCATAAAAGATCCAGGACCCCGAACTGAGCTGGCACCAGCAAACTTGGTATCCTTGCCCAGGTCATATGCTCTGCCTTTCTGAAAGGCCTTTCAGTGGACCACATGACTCAGACAAGATAGGGTTGGGGGAAGTCGGAAACAAGCTCCAAATTTCAGAAAACGAACTGGTTCTACATCTCCTACTAGGCAGGGCCCAGAGGTTTCCGTCCAAAGATCTATAGAGACCAATTTCCACTCCCTCAGGTGTATGCTTTTTAGATCCGATCACAGGGCTGTAATGGAAGTCAGGACTAGGCACTGCCATGCAGGGTGGATGCTGTGGACAACGGGCCATCTCTGGAGGGGCAGCTGCTGTTGCGTTTCATCTTCTGTCCAGAGAATTTCTCCCTTTATTTCTTTACTGAAGACTTATGCTGCCCTAACATTGTTCACCAAGCAGTCTGAGTTCAGAAAAGTTAAGACTACAGGTGTTAATGGCCATTTCTTGTGCTGAGCTGGCCCAGGCCAGCAGGCGCGTGGCCTTGGGGGAGGGCCTCTCTCCACAAAGCAATGTCTGTCCTCTCTGAACCTGAGGAAGATTCCACCCAGGACCTGAGTCCCCAACATAAAAGCTTTCATCTTGCCTTCAGAATGTAATTATCAGAGGAAGTTTTTTAAAAAGTAGTGCCAGGCTGGAGAGATGACTCAGCAGTTAAGAGTGCATACTGCTCTTACAGAGGACCCAAGTATGATTCCCAGTACCCATGCTGGGCAGTTCATGACTGCCTGCAATTTCAGCTCAGGGGAGTCAAACACCTGGCCTCCTTGGGTATCTGCACGCATGTGCACAAACCACCCCCCCATATACACATATTTTTAAAAATAATATCTTTTTTTGGAGATAAGTTCTCACTATGCATTCCTGGGTGCCTGGAGGTCACTATGTAGACCAGGCTGGTCTTGAACTCACAGATATTCACCTGCTTCTGCTTCCTGAGAACTGGAATTAAAGACAAGTGCCACCACACTCAGATAAAAATAATAAAACACATCCTTAAAAAATTAAAATTAAAAAGTACTGCTGAGGTTAGAGAGATGACTCAGCAGTAAGAACACTGGCTGCTCTTACAGAGGACCCAGGTTTGGGTCCCAGCACCCACATGGCTGCTAACAACCAGTTCCATGTAATCCAACACCCTCTTCTGACCTTCACTGGCATTGCATGGCACAGGTGCACTTACATACATGCAGACAATACACTCATACACATAAAAAAATAAATAAAATGTTGTAAAAGTACTGCCAAAGGGCAGAGGCAATGACACGGTGGTAAAGTGCTTGCCTCACAAGCATGAGGACCTGAGTTCCACCCTCAGAACCCAAGTAAAATAAAGCTAGTTGTGGTGGTATGTATTTGTAATCCTAGCACTGGGAGATAGAGACAGGCAGATCCCTGTGGCTCACTGGCCAGCCAACTTAGCTTATTTGGAAAGATCCAGGCCAGTGAAAGACCCTGACTCAAAAAATAAAACAAAGCAAAACAAAAACCTAAATGGGTGGTACCTGAGGACTAACACCTAAGGTTGTCCTCTGACTTCCACATACATGTGTACCACACACATATGAGCATGTGTATACACACATAGTACTGTCAGTCACTATCAGAATAATTTCCATGTTACTCCATAGACTCTCAGAATCTCAACATTTGCAGTTCCACTTCCTCCCCTAACATGAAAGTCTCCACCAACCTCCCCTTGAATGGGTCACATAGCAGTGCGTTTGCATAGTTCTCTGCCACGTCGCGAGCCCCCACAGGCCTCAGTGTTTTTTTCTAAAGGTCTGTCTTATAGACATGAGAACCCCAAACCTCTAAGATCATCTGGAGGTTACATGAGCTACTTACAAGTCCAGATAGATAGATAGATGATAGATAGATAGATAGATAGATAGATAGATAGATAGATAGATAGATGATAGACAGATGATATAGATCTATAGACATATATGCACATGTATATACCACATATATATGTCATATCTATATTATATATATTTGTTTGCTTTGTTTTGTTTTGTCTTATTTGGCCTTTTTGAGACAGGGTCTCCCTGTAGCCCCAGCTGGCCTGAACTTGCTATGTAGGCCAGGCTAGCTTTAATCTCAGAGAGATCCACCTGCCTCTGCCTCATGAATGCTGGGATTAATTAACCTATACTTTGAATGAAAAGAGTAGAATCAGAGGACAGGCTTACTGTTTCTTTCTCTGTCATTCTCTGAAAAGATCTGTTCTTCCTCGGCCCCGAATAGAAGGTCTGACAGAACTTATGGTTTCCCTGGTCCTCCCAAGAACATCTGAGTGGACAGACACTGTTGGTCAGAAAGTCCACACTCAGCTAGTAACTAAAACGTCTCTTCCACCTCTAGATGGGCCACGAAGGCTGAGTCCACTGAGGACAGTGCCTGTGTGGCAGTCAGATATTTTGAACATCATCTCTGACATCAGGGCAGAGTCTAGACACATGCTCAGCCACTCTGCTGCTCAAGCATTGTTGGAGGGGCTTAGGGTCTTAGGGTAGTAAGAACTCCTATCCCATAAATGATAAATGAAAACAATACTTCTTCTTTGATTTTGTTTATTTTTAAGAGAGGGTCTTGTTTTGCAGACCAGGCTGGCTTGGAACCCTCTTGCCTCAGCCTCCCAAGTGTTGGGATTACAGGTATGAGCCTGGCTCACACAGGTGTGTGCCAGGCTTTATGTTTCATTTTGAAGAAAATACCAGAGTGTGTCCCAATGTGGCTGCAGTTCTCTGCAGACTATGGCTCCAGTTTCTGCATATCTCCTCCGTTCGATCTGCAGTCTTTGCTGAAACCATCCTGGGGGTTTGGAGCATCACATCTGTGGAGTTTTCATTGTAGCCCTTTGGTGCTTTTGAACCAGTCTAGCCCAGAACTGGCTATGTAGCCAAGGATGACCTTGATCTCCTGAGTGCTGAGATTACAGATGAATATCACCATACCTGGCCACATTGTATGGGTTTTTTAAATTTATTTTTTATTTTATATGTATGAGTGTTATGCCTACATGTGTATAAGGGCATCCGTGTTGTACAGTGCCTGTGGAGGACAGAAGAGAGTGTCAGATCCCTTGGAACTAGAGTTATAGATGGTTGTTAGCTGCCATGTCGATGTTGGAATTTGAACCAGGGTCTTCTGCAAGAATAGCCAGTGCTCTTAACTGCTGAGCCATCTCTCCAGCCCTCACATTGTGGGTTTAAAAAAATATTTTATTTACTATTTTTATTTTGCGTATGAGCATATTGCCTGCATGTGTGTAAGTGCACCCATGTCATGCAATGCCTGCGGACATCCCCTGGAACTGGAGCTACAGATGGTTGTTAACCACCATGTGGGTGCTGGGAATCAAACCCGGGTCCTCTGCAAGACCAGTGAGTACTTTTAACTGCTGAGCCAGCTCTCTAGCCCCTGCATTGTGGTTTTAATGAGTTTATAAATGTGTTTATCTGATGACTACTGATGGCAAGCATATTTTCATGTAATTACCAAAATTGATCTATCGTCTATGGAGGAATATCTGTTTAGCTCTTTGTTGAAAAAAATGTAGTTAGGCTGGAAAGATGGCTCAGTAGTAAGAGTATGGGCTGCTCTTGTAGAGGATCCAGGTTCAGTTCCCAGTACCTATGTGATAGCTAACAACCATCTGTAATTTCAGTTCCAGGGAATCCAACACCCTCTTCTGGTCTCTATGGGCATTGTATGCACTGGTGCACTTACATACAATCAGGCAAAACACTCACACACATAAAATAAAAATACAATAAAATAAATTAAAAAAACTGGAATGGTAGTGGTTCTTCTCCTCCTCCTCCATATCTTCCTCCTCCTTCTTCCTCTTCCTCTTCTCCCTCCTTATGCTGAGAATGGAATTCAGGGCCCTGAGCATGCCAAACCATGGAGCTATAGGCCCAACCCTGTCTTCCCATCAAGTTGAATTTATTATGCATTCTGGATACAAATCATTTATCAGAAATATGATTTGTGAATATTTTCTTCCAAACTGTGACTTTTCTTTTTCTAACAGTACCTTTGAAAACCAAAATATTTTAGCTTCAGTGAAGTATAATTTACCAAGTTTTTAGTTTATGTATCATGCTCTTAGTGTTGTCTGAGCAATCTTGCCTAATCCAAGGCACAAACACTCAGTCCTATGTTTTCTTTTAGAAAGTTAATAGTTTGAGTTTTTTACATTCCGGTGTGGAACTTACACGTGCAAGGGGCTCCAGGTGCCATCCCAGCACTCCAGCACACCCAAGAGGGTGTGGGCTGGGGCCCCGGCTTTGGAGGCCCCACTTCACCTCACAGTTTGTCACCATCAGTTCTAGGGATTTCCTGGGCTCTGTTGGGAACTGTCACAAGGCTTTCCATTCACTGGGGTAGGGGGGTGAATAGCTCTGACCAGAGTCTGGACTCTGAGAAATAATGTACTATTTGTTTCTTTTCTGTTCCAAAGGCTGTGGACACAGAGACTATATGAATTTGACACAATCTGTCCTCATTACCAGCTTCCAGAAAAAGGCGGTGAGATTTCCACATTGGTCCAGTCTTGTCAGTTTCATTACCTGATGACCTCCCAATAAGAAACAATCTTTCACATATCACACAGCTATAGAAACATTGACTTATGGACTGGGGAGATGGCTCAGTGGGTAAAGTGCTTGCCTCCATGAGCATGAAGACCTGAGCTCAATATCCCAGAGCTCACGTAAAAAGCAGAACATGGTGGTAAAGAGCTGCAATCCCAGTCCTGGGAGGCAAAGACAGGAAGATCTCTGGGCTTGCAGGGAAGCGAGCCCAGCTGAATCAGTGGGCTCCAGGCTCAGTGAGAGACCCTGTCTCAGAAATAAAGTGGAGAGTGATTGAGGAAGACACCATCTATTTCCGGCCCTGGCACATACATATGCACACACATGAGAATATGCACATACGCACACATAGACACACATTCCTACAAGACGGAAAGAAAACCTTTTTAAAAATGTCTTCATGAGGTGATTGGAGTACACAGCCAGGGCCGGGGTATTGGAACATTGGATGGTTGGTTGATGGAGGCGGGAATGGAAGGAGGAATTCTAGCAACTTCAGTCCTGATGCAGAAGTGGTGCCACTGGTCCTTGTGAGGCAGTGATTTTACAGAGAAGCAGTACAGAATCAGAGAATGCAGACAGCTCCATCTGATCCTCCCAGATCAGGATGGGGAGGCCGAGAGGATGGTGTGAGGCAGAGGGGAGAGCAGGGCTCCCCAGCAGTTCTGAGGTGTGTGGTCCAGAAGCCAGATGGGCAGGTGGCCTCCTTATCAGGGCAACCTCAGATGTTCATGGTCAAGTTGATGAACTGGAAATAAAGAGCGAGGTGAGAGTCTTCCCTTCAAAGTCCCAGCTTCCTTATGTCTCAGAAGCTCTGCTGTCTGCTTATTTTGCCTGCGAACGTGGACTTCTGTCTCAACATGAAGCTATTCTTTAAAATTTAAATTAAGGGGCTAGAGGGATGGCTCAGCAGTTAAGAGCACTGGCTGATCTTGCAGGATACCAGGGTTCGCATCCCAGCACCCGCATAGTGGCTAGCTAGCAACCATCCGTAACTCCAGTTCCAGGGGATCTGATGCCCTCTTCTGACCTCTGTGGGCATTGCACAACATGGCACTTACATACATGCAGGCAATACGGCACATAAAATAAAAATAATAAATAAATATTAAAAATAAAATAAGATTTAAGATCAACAAATTAATGTGTGGGTCTCTCTTTCTGTGTGTGTACCTGTGGCATATGTACTTGTTTTGTGTATGTATGTATGTGTGTCCATGCACACAGACCAGAGGTTGATGTTGGGTCATCTGCTGTTGCTCACCACCTTATATTTTGAAACAGGGTCTCTCACTGAACCTGGAGCTTGCCAATTGGCTATCAAGAGATCTGCTTGCCTCTGTCCCCACAGTACTGGGGTTGCAGATATGTGCCACCACACCCAGTTTTTTATGTGGGTTCTGGGGATCAGAACGCAGGTCCTCACAATTGTGCAGCAGACATTTTACTAACTGAACCCTCTCTCCAGCCCCAGGAAGCCATTTTTTAAAAAAGCCAATTTTCAGAAGCATATAGAGATAGGACAGAGGGTTGGAAAATGTGCCTCCTTCCTGTTGCAGGGGACAAAGCGGGGCAGTGTGAATTGCACTTGCTCTTTGGTGAGGCCCTTCTCCACATCCTCATCCTGCACCAGGTGGAGAAGGGTGACTCTCCTCCTTCTGGGGCTGCAGGAAGGAAGCAGGCTGATGATGGCTCAGGGTCCTCACGACAGGCTGGTGGGGAGGCAGCATGAAGCCTCTCTCCACTTCCCTCCAGGTTCACTCCTTAGCGTGTTTATGCGGAATGCTGTTTCTTCCACACCCTCTTTCCTGGGTTTGGGCAGACCCAGGGCAACAAAGAATCTTGGGTTTTTGTAGTAAAGTGACTTCTAGAAGGCTCAGTCTGGGTTGGCTCTCTTTGTCCCCTGGTAGAGGAAGGGACCTGAAACAGCTGAGATATCTTTTCTTTTTCTTTTTGAGACAGGGTTTCTCATAGCTCAGGCTGGTGTGAAACACTTTATGTTCTATAACCAAAGATGACCTTGAACTCTTGATCTTTCCACCATCATGACCAGTTTATGCCATATTAAGATGGCACCCAGGGCTTTGTGCATGCTAAGCAAGCACTCTACCAACTGAGCTACAGTCCCAGCTCTGTTTGGTTTGATCTGCTGTGTTTAGTGATAGGGTCTCATGTAGCCCAAGCTGATCTCTAACAGCATAGCAGAGGCTACCCTTGACTTTCTTGATCCTCTTGCCTCTCCCTCCAAGTGCTGGGATTACAGGTATGTGTTACCATGCCCAGTTTATGTGGTAGAGGGAATTGAACCCAGGCACTCTATTAACTGAGCTCTATCCCCTGCTCTGTTTTGTTTTTTTTTTTGTTGTTGTTGTTGTTGTTGCTTATTTAGACAAAGTGTTGCGATATTTATTCCAGGTTGGCCTGGAACTGGTGATCTTCCTGCCTCAGTCTCCCAAGTGCTCAGACACCAAGCATGTTCTACTGTACCTGGTGCTTTTCTCAGTTTTGAGGTGTGCGCATGCTCTCTCTCTCTCTCTCTCTCTCTCTCTCTCTCTCTCACACACACACACACACACACACACACACACACACACACACTGGAGAACCTGAGCAAAGAGGGTTACAAGCTTTCTAGCAGGCAGAGGAGAAGTGTAGCCCACGGACAGAGGAGCACAAGCAGCAAGCTTGCTCCTACATGCCACTCAGGGTGGTTAATTGCTCTATGCCTCAGTTTCCGCTTCTGCAAAATGGGGCACTCAGCTCATAGGATTAATGAACTGATTATATCAGTTGCCAAGTGAACAGAAACACCAGCCTCTGTACTGCTGTGAGTGCTAGTCCTGCCTGGGGAGGCCAGCAAGGGTTACAGAACTTGTGCACTACTGGCCCCAGCTGGGGTCCAGAGCGGTCCTACCTCGTTTATGTTGAGATGGATGAAGTCTTTGTTCTTCACACTGAGAGCCTGGAACACCCCTGGTGGAAGAGATGAAGCACCTTAGTGGAAAGAGGTTCCAAGGCCCCTGTGAAGCCTGGGGGAATCTGCTCCCCCTAGTGGAGGCCTCTACTACTTAAGGCCCTTCAATTCCTTCCCCAGCCTAGAGGCCTTGAAACAATGGCCTGACTTTCACCAGCTGGCTTCCAAGCATCTTCTAGCTTAATCTTAGGGGGTTACAAATCCCCTAGATCCATAGACCCCAGGGAAAAGGCATATGAACGTAAAACAGCATAATCCTGGCTACAGTTTCATCTTTATGTGAGTCTCTCATGGCGGGGGAGGTGCCAGGAGTGTGAGGAAGAGCCAGGCCTGCTGGCTGGGATTATCAAGTACCCTGGGAAGGGACTGTCCTCTCTGGGCCTCCAGCTCCCACCTCCAGATGCAACTCAGGGGTTATCCCAGAGCAGAAGAGGAGGAGACCCACCACAAATGCAGCATGGACCCTGCTCGTGTGCAGAGGCCACTGAGCAATCAATGATGGTGACCACATTCTATCACCACACTGGACATTTCCACATGGGCTGGCCATCCCATGACGGTGAGTATAGCTAAGTTTTGCTAGGTATGTAAAATACATAGTGATTATAATAAAACCGATAGATGCTGGGGACATGTGTCCATTTGCCCCTGAAGGACTGGTGCATGGCTGAGCTGCCCTGGACACATTTGGGTCACCTGTAATGGGGAGGGTGTGGCAGTGGATCACAGTCTCTCCTGAGACATTTAAAGAAGGAAAGACAGAACTTCTGAGATCTGTTAAACAAGTATTGGAGGATGAGATGGTAACAGTTGAGGCTGGGTGTAAAGTGCTGGAGCCACCTTGAAGAAGAGTCACAGCCCTGGTGCTGGATGCCACCCTTGAGATTCTAATTCGATTGCTCTATCCTGAAGCCTGGTTGTCTCAGCTCCTCCCCCAAGCCCTGCTTTTTTTTGCAGTGCTGGGATAGAACCCAGGGCCTTGTGCATGCTAGGCAAATAGCCTACCTCTGAGCTACACCCACCTCTCCATTGCTACAGAATTTAAAAGTTCCCCCAGAGTGTAATCTATAGCAAAGTTTGAGAACTGATGTGGGGTGCATGGGAACTTATTTTTCTTTACATTTAAGTGGATGATTGAGAGTTTCTGTGACAAGAAATTGAAATGATATTGGGCCAAGCTCCAGTGTTGGCAGTTTGAGGAGTTCCCCAGATGATCTGGGGTGAGGTCCCAGAGTCACCCAAAGGGCCTTCTCCTGACACTCCTCGGTCAGAATAGCAACAAGAGCCCCACTCAGGGAAGAATCAGGCCTGAGGAAACTGAATGGGGACAGCAGTGCAGAGAGGCACTGTCAGATAGATCTCTCATTTCTAGGGAGTGTAATAGCTCTCCTCTTCCTGGGGGAACTGTGGAAATCACCTCTCCCCGGCTACTGGAGAAACACCAGGACCTTGAGGGCCACCTAGCCCCACTCCAAGCTTCCACACATTTACTGATCTATCCTGAACTTTATGGACTAAGACACAAACTTCAGGCAATCACAGGGTCTTGCCACCAAAGAGAATGGGGTGCCATTCCACTGTGTTGCAAGACACTGCCTTGTCTTACTGGTGCCATGTGGTCCCCTGTCAAGCAGATTTCAGTTAATGACAAACAAAACCAATGCATACTTTGTGAGGCCCCATTCAAAGTGAACACATGGGCCTCTTGTTAAAAAATCAAGATGAAGGGCTGGAGAGATGGCTCAGTGGTTAAGAACACTGGTTGTTCTTGCAGAAGACCTGAGTTTGAATCCCAGCACCCACATGGCAGCTAACAACTGTCCATAATTCCAGTTCCAGGGGATCTGACGGCCTTGTCTGTCTCCTGGGGGCATTGCATGACACAGGTGCACTTACCTACATGCAGGCAACACACTCATACACATAAAAATAATAAATAAAATATAAAAAAAGATTTAATAAAAAATCAAGATGGCAACACCAGGACATCTAATCACCACAAGGGCCATTGGGGACATGAGTCCCTTTGCTCCTGAAGGGACAGTGCATGGTTGAGCTCATTCAGCTGCCCTTCAGGGCCCTCTGTATTGTGAGGGGTGACAATACACCACCTCAGCTGAGACCTACACAGATGCCGTCTCCTCTGCAGGGAGGGACTGAGACTTCTCAATTCTGTGTATCACGAGAAGACTTGATCTGAAGTGGGACCTTTCCTCAGATAGGAGGGCATGAGACCTGCCCACAGCCCTCCACAGCATTTGGGTATGTGATAAATGGCAACCATAGGACACACTTTGTAGATACATTCTACCTGTCAGCTGACCATAGGGCCACAACTCTCTGCACAGACCCCCATGGTAGCCCTCCAGGTCCTGGCTCTGCATGTTTTTCTGAGTTGTTTTTTTTTTTTTTTTTTCTGTTCTCATACATGAGAACTAGAGACGCCCTGAGGTGGATACTGTCCCCCGCCCCCAGGGGTCTGAAGACACTCTCATCCCCCCTGCACACTCACGGCTTGCATTCTCCAGCCGCACCAGGCAGTTGAGGTAGTCATCGAAGTCCAGCTGGAGCTTCTCATCTGCGTACCTGAGGACGATCAGCTGCAGGAGGTGACTGTTCAACTGAAAGCCTGTGGAGGGACAGAAGAGCCAGGACCTGCCATGGTTGAGCCCCGCGGCGAGCCCATAGCTCTAAGGCTCTGAGAGAAGTGAATGTTCACCCCACGAAGTGTGTGCTCCCAGACCCAGTAGGGCCCATCTTTGGTGTGAATTGGGATATGAGTGTGTTATATGGGGTGCTGTGAGCTCACAGGGGAGCAGCATTAATCCTAGGCATCTGGGTTTAATGATATGTGTTGGTTTTGACATTAGCATCTCTCCTAGGTTGGCTGTTGTTTCAAGAAGCCCATGAAGGAGTCTCAGTAGCACAATGAGCCGACAGCCTGTCTTGGGTCTGTCTGAGCTTCCACCTGCAAGGGCCAGGGACAGCAGAGCTAGCACCTAGAGCCAGCAAGTAGTTGTATGTGTGTGCATGGGATCGTGTGTGTGTGTTCATGCAGATGTATGTGCATGTGTGTTGAGACTGGAGGTCAGCTGGAGCGATCATCCTCAGAAGCTGTCCACCTTATTTTTTAAAACAGGGTCTCTCACCAGCCTGTTACCCAAGCTAGGCTGGCCAGGGAGCTCTAGGAATCCACCTGTCTCCATCCTCCTAGTACCGGAATTACAGGCGCATGCCACCACCCCTAGTTTATTTTATCTGGGTTCTGGGGATCGAATTCAGGTCCTTGTGCTTATACAGCAAACACTTTACTGATTGAGCTGCCTCCCCAGCCCACCAGTATTTCTCAAGGGTATTTTATCCTTAAAATCCTGGGTGCTAGAGATGTCTCCCAGGGGTGCTGTTGCCCATAGTAAGGGGTGATATGTGGGGTTCATTCCTCACAGCATGCCAGAGGGAGGTGGCACACTGCAGTAGAGTCCAGTGATGTCCTGGAGCTGCCCTGGCCACTGCAGCATGTTTCACTTCTCTGGGCTTTGGTTTCCTTATTCATCAAATAAGGAGGGTTTTTTTTGGTTTTTATTTATTAATTTATTATTTTTATTTTATATGTATGAATGTATTGCCTGCATATATGTAAGTACACCCATGTTATGCAGTGCCCACAGAGGCCAGAAGAGGGCATAGGATCCTCTGGAACTGGGAGTTAAGGTCAGTTGTTATCTGCCATATGGATGCTGGGAACCAAACCCGGGTCCTTTGCAAGAACAGCCAGTGCTCTTAACTTCTGAGTCATCTTTCTAGCCCTTCATTTTGTTTTTTGGAGTCAGGGTCTCACTATGTATACCTGCCAGCCTGCTGGGCCTGGCTGGTCTGAAACTTGCTATATGGACCAGGCTGGATTTGAACTCACAGAAATCTACTTGCCTCTGACTCCCCAGTGCTTGGATTAAATGCATGGACCACCACAGCTGGCCAAATGAAGAGTCTTGATGAGTCAGAGTTCTTTCTGGGTCTGACTTTAGTGTTTTGCTTCCTAACCTATGTTCTTTTTTTTTCTTTTCTTTCTTTTTTGATTTATTTATTTTCATTTTCTGTGTATGAGTGCATGTATGTAAATGCACCTGTGCATGCAATGACCATGGAGGCCAGAAGAGGGCATTAGATCCTTTGGAACTGGAGTTATGGATAGGTGTTACCTGCTATGTGGGTGCTGGGAACCAAACCTGGGTCCTGAAAGAGCAGCTAGTGCTCTTAACAGCTGATCCATTTCTCCAGCCCCATAATCCATGTTGTTAGGCCCAGTGTTCCTTCAGTTCAGTGTTCATGCCTGCACGTGTTCAGAGGAGTGTTTGGCCCCACCAGGGGTCTCTCAGAAGTGGAGGCTCTGAGCACTGTCTTGAGCAGGCTCAGTGGGGCTGGTAGCAGTCATTCTTAAATCCTGGTGCCTGCCTCCATGGGGTCAAAGGAGCAAGGTGGGCAATCCTTCCCCCAATTTTGAATTCATCAGGTCCCTCGATCCCCTGTTTGGTCCTTCCTACCCTGGAAATGGGATCACCAGCCCTTAAGTGAACCAGGCACCTTTTCATGTGTGTGATGCATATTGTTCTCCTTCACAAAGGACCTAAAGGAAATCCCAAGTATCACATTCTGTTAGATGTGTTGTTCACAGGGAGGGGACTTTGGGACCAGCTGCAGTGGGTGCCTAGCTGTGCTGTGTCCTGGGCTCAGGCTGCAGAGGCCATGGAAGCCATGCTGGAGTGCAGGTCACTGAGCCTCTGACAGTGGGGTACCATGGCAGTGACCAATGGATGGTTAGAAACCTCATGTGGAATGTGTCTCTTGTGGGAGGGGGTGTGGCATAAATGGAATCAGCTGGATGGAATTCAGTCCCCTGCCAGAGCCAGGGACAGGGTCACAGGTGGTAAGCAGGCACAGCAGAACATGCTCTGTCTCTTCCTCTGTGATTAGTGTGTCCTAAAGTGAAGTCTCCACAGAGCCACAACTCACTCTGCTGCAGAAATACGTGGCCAGAGGCTAAAGGGGTGGAGGAAGCAATCAGGGTTATTTGCAGAGGATACTTGGGGTTTGTTTGTTTTGTTTTTTGTTCTGAGGCAGAGTCTCATGTACCCAGGCTGGACTCAAACTTGCTATTAGTTGAGGATGACCTTGAGCAGATTCTGATCCTCCTGCCTCCACCTCTTGAATGCTGCAATTACAGGCATACACTATGTAGTGCTAGGGATCAAACCCAGGGCTTCATGCATGCTAGGTAAGCACTCTACCCACTGAGCTACATCCCTATCCCATGCATCTTAAAACTTTCCTGCTGGATGCTGGAGAGATGTGTCTCAATGTAAGTACTTACTGGGTAAGCATTGAGGACCTGAGATCAGATCCAGAATGAGTGTAAAAGCCAGGTACAGACGGTAACTTCAGCATTGGAGGGGGAGGGGCAGAGACAGGTGGATCCCTGGAGCTGATTGGCCAGCCAGCCTGGGTATATAGCCTGTCTAATAAAACAAACAAATAAACAAAACCCCCACAAAAACACAACAACAAAAACTAGAGAATGATACCTGAAGTCAACCTCTGGTCTACACACACACACACACACACACACACACACACACACACACACACACACACACACACACACACACACACACACACACACACCCCACTGCCTATATGCACAGAGGCTTAGCCCTTCGGGCCTGATCTAAACAAGTAAGTCTGGAGGTCAAGGTCTGGCACAAGCCTTAGGCCTGTGATCTTCAGAAATGTCAGCTCAGTGCAGAGACCAACCTCCCAGGGGTCAGCAGAAGACTCACCATGTGCGTCCTGCTAGAGCCTGCCAGTAGACAGCATGGTGGACCAACCATCAGACAGTCCCATCCAGGTTTTTGTTGGTGATTCTCCTCCCCACCTCTTCTCCCCAGCCCCTGGTCCCCATTCACCTCATATATATATATGGTTTTTATTGTTTGTTTGCTTTTACCTGCAGCTTTCAGTGCAGTCCGCAGCTCATAGGAAGACATGGTGCCAGATTTATCCACATCAAACTGGAGGAACAGGTTCTGGGGGTAGGGAGTAGGGCACTGAGAAGTCAGAGCTAGAGGGTGGTGCGGACAGCAGTGACTGTTGGCAGCTGCCCTTTGGAGAGGCAAGGTTGGCTGGGTCCTTCCCTCCCTTCCTTCTTTCTTTCTTTCCTACCTGCCTTTCTTTCTGAGACATAGTCTCATGTAGGTCAGGATAGCCTCAAACTGGCTTTGTAGCTGAGGATGACCTTGAATCTCTGATCCTCTTACCTTTACTTCCCAAGTTTGGGGATTACATATGAGCACCACCACACCTGGTTTCCTGCGGTGCTGGAAGTCAAATCCAGGCTAGCATGCTACCAACTGAGCAACATCTCCAGTCCATAGGCCCTCTTTTTTTTTAATGTGGTACTGGGGTGTTTGGAACTCCCACCACAGGCTCTGCTCTTGTCCAGGGCTCTCTTTCTTCCCCCTTTCCTTTTGGGAGAAAGGGCTGCCAGTATGGCTGTGAGTGTCAGGTACACAGTGTTGTCTTCACTCTCCCTGCCAGCACCACTGAGCCTGCAGTCTGGGTCTTTGCCCCATTCTGCTCTTGGCTCAGGGTCTACACCAAGTCACGTACCATCCACCGCTTCAGCTTGTCCCAAAACACTCGGAACTCCTCGAACTCCAGTTTCCCATTGCCGCTGGTCTGGCCACGTGGGTTAAGGGAGCCATGTACGACCAGTCTTTCAACCCAAGATCCTCATGGGACCCCAGCTTGTAGGACTCCAGGAGGAGGCCAGTGGTATGAGTGACAGATTGGGGGCACTAGGGAAGTAGCTTTAATGATCGAAGAGAGGAAATGGCAGGGGTGAGATGGGATGGGCACTGAGATTTACAAAACTGGAAAGCAGAATCCATCATTCCCTTTAGGGAGGTTCCAGTGTCCATGAGACATTCAGGTCCCTTCAGAAACTTTCTTTCTACTGAGTGGTCCTGTACCTCTTGACTCTGACCCTTCGACTAGGGACCTCTAGTTTTTGGAGCTATGGGATCTATCCTGGTAAAGTGAGTTCTACATGATACCACTCAGAGAGACTGTGCACTTGGGGAGGATACATCCATCAAAGAGATGATGTTTCTGCAGGACAGAAGGCTCAGTTTCTTGAACTTGAGAGATGTTTCTGCAATCATAGGGGAAGTTGTGTGATCAGGGGGCCTGATAAGACGAACCTACCTTCCCTTCTTCCAAGAGCCCAGGCTGGGACAATGATGTGGACATCTTAAGATGTAGAGGTGTGTCCCGAAGGACAGGACGTGCTGCAGAGAATTGGCTGCAGGGAGTTAGCTATGGAGAGGGAGCTGCAGAGAGTTAGCTGAGGAGGGAGGAGCATTGGCACTGTCTTAACAGGAGCGGAGTGAAAAAAATGGCCCTGTGTCTTGCCCACATGGATGAGAGAGGGGGCATTTAGCGACCTGCGGGGAGACTGTGGGCCCATGAGGCGTGTGAGAAAGCTAAGGAGACTGTGGGTGGGGTGCGGAAGCGATCTGGAACTGCCAGCCGCTGAGCCACAAAGAGGAGTGGGGTGCTGTGTGTTCGCCTTTGTAAGTTACTCTGTTCCCCTACCCAGGATATAAACTAGGAAAAATTCGGGTATGTTATATGGTTTGTCTAATGGCACCAGGAGCAAGGGACCTAAGAGAATTCAGGCGACAAATTGGCGCAGCTGGCAGAATGGCACTGGAAATGACAAACTGTGGAAGTTTGGGAAAAGCAAAGGAGCTAATGGCAGTGCTGACATGGAACTTAAAATAGATTATAAAATATTATAAAAGGGGCGGGCCACACAGAAGCGTGGGCCACAGCTGTGTTGTAAATGTGGGGCAATAGCCCAGTTGCAGGTATGTGAAAATTTGTTAGAGGTTATAGGAAGGCTAAAAAAACTTTTACAAAGCCTGAGACACAAGCAGAGAACCCAGAGAGGGGGCATGGCCACTTTGCATAATGAAAGATTTGCCCAAGGCTGGAGAAGCTGCAAAGGCCAGGGAGGTGCTGGCAGGTTCAGTTGTGTAAGTCCAAGGACTCTGGAAAAAAGACACATAATAATGAAAAAGGAAATGACCTAAAAATCAAAGTAGCTAAAGCTGCCCCTCAGATTCAACCTTTGATACAAAAAGTAAAAAAAGCTAACAGTGCTGTAGCCAGGAAATACTCCACACTGGAACTGTTAAAACTAGGAAAAACAAGCAAGCAATCAAAGAGCTCCTCGCCACATGGCTCTTGAGGGTGTGGGACATGGGAGCAAATGACTTCAGTCTATGTCCTTCAGAAGTTTCACAGCTGAGTTATATAACCACCCATTTGTCCTTGCAATATAAGCTGTTCAACCTAGGCCAATGCAGGGGGATCACTCCTTAATGGGATGGCTGGTAGAAGGCATTAAAGATACATGGTTGTCACCATGTATCATGGTTGTCAAGGGAGACTAACATGATTAGCAGGGGCTAGAGGACTATAAAGGAGGGACACGCATTACTGAGAGAACTAGGTATGAGAAAAGCAGTATATGATACTCAGTTCACAGGGCCAGATAAGACTGTGTTCACCAGAGATATAATGGAAAGGTTAATTCAACTGAAACTTTGAGAATGGTATGGAGCTTTAATGGTTTTGCTAAGCCCTTTAATGGGACAGGATCTTTGTACCATGAGAGAGACTTTAGCAGATCTAAATGATTCTGACCAACAGGTAAAACATGTTTTTAGAATAACAGAACACCCTACAAGAGATAAAAGACCAGAAAGAAAAAATGGTCCACTTGGGTTACTTGAAGACAAATGTGGCAAGACTTATGTCAAGCCCAAATTACCAGAGAAAACAATGATAGAAAACTAAATTTGGTACTAAGGAGTTTCTGGAAGGCTTTAAAACCAGAACAACAGTTTATAAAAGGCATTCAAAAGATAAAAATTGTCCCAGGAGTGGTTAAGGATCCCCAAAGATTGAATAAGGTGCGTTTCTCTCCTGATAAAGGTTATACTAAGGGTGGAGGCAGTTTTTCCCACCAAGGCCTCCCCCAGAAGCCAGGTATGGTCAATGGAGAGATGACAGATATGGCTACAGTCAGGAGGCAGACCCAGGGCCTGCCTGACTTAGGGAATCAACAGGTATAGCAGGGACAAGAGAAACCCCCTGCCTCCTTAGCCTGGTGCAGGGTCAGGCAGCTGGAGCCAACACCTGTAAGTATATCGAAGATAAAAGGATACAAAGAGACTCCATGCAAGATCCCCAGAATGTGAATGACTCCAAAGGGATAACTAAATATAGTAAAGAACTAACCAAATTAATACCTCTTACCATACTATGGTACTTAACAAAGATCTATGGAGAAAACAGTTAATACGCATGGATAAAACCTTTCCATGCTGTATGAGACCTTGTCTATGATTGATTTAATATATAATGTTAACCTTCCTTCGAGTGTTTTACAGATGTAAAACCCATTTGAAAGATACCTGAAGAAGCAAAGGCCAGCTGTAGCTGTAAGACTCTTGGGAGTTTTATGGTTGAATAACATAAAAACAGAGTCTCCCAAACTATACAACTGTTAAGAAAATCTACAGCACCAGGGATGGGCTGCCCCCTATGAGCTGTTGGTCAGAGAGAGATCCTAGAGGTCCTCCAATTCACCAAGGCTATTGTCATTAATGTCAGTTCTACACTAGAAAGGTCAGTGAGGCCATGTTGCTGAGGACACTGCATGATGTGAACATGGGAGGAGAAGAAGAGATGGAGCTGAGACTAAGCCAAAAACTCCATGCGACTGGATGGATTACATTCATAGTACCAGGAGGTGCTATGCTGATGGTTGGGGAAGAAAGGTTCCCCTATGATTCTACTCAACAATAGACCCTGCGTGCTGTGCACTATGGACATGCCAAGCAATGCCTGCAAGTGCAATAATGGCTTGACTAACATATGTACAACTGAAAAACTTCTAATTGGGCAAGGCCCACTCCTAGGGGTGGAACACACATCTGGTGCTGTAGACCAGGCCAACCCCCTGTGTTGAGAAAGGCTACAGGCTCTAGTGGGGAACGCATTACAAGTATACTGTTTAGTGAATATAGTACACCTACTGGGATGTCCTCTAGGCATTTGTATTTACATTCATATTTGTTTAGATGTGTCTACTTCCTTCCATTTGTCTTTATAGTAGAAGAAACACCACTGAGATAGATCAATGGCCACAGCTTGAAGATGAATAATGGGGAGGTCCAAGAAGTCAAAGAGAGACTGCCCTACATCAGTCACCCCCTCCAAGGCTCAGGGACCTTAGCAGAAGATTGGCAGAAAGATTGTAAGAGCCGGAGGAAGTGGTGGAGTGTGTCCCGAGGGGCAATTGTTCCCCTGAGGGGCGGGGCCTGCTGTGGAGAATTGGCTGTGGAGAGTTAGCCAAGAAGGGAGGAGCGTTGGCACCGTCTTGGCAGGAGCGGTGTGGAAAAATGGCCCCAGTGTCTCACCCACGTGGATGTGAGAGGGGGCATTTACTGACCTGGGGCAAGACTGTGGGCCCACAAGGCATGGGCAAAAGCTAAGGAGACTGTGGGTGGGGTGCGGAAGCAATGCAGAGTGGCTAGCCACTGAGCCACAGAGTGGAATTGGGTGCTGTGTGTTTGCCTTTATGAGTTACTCTATTTCCCCTACCCAGGATATAAACTAGGAAAAATTCAGATAAAGATGTGTTATATGGTTTGTCTGATGGCACCAGGAGCAAGGGACCTAAGAGAGCTCCGGTGACAAGAGGGTAGGAGCTGGCCTTCCAGAAGCAAAATTTGCAATATGTGCAGAAAACCTTAGTGATGGAAAATTTCTCTCATGTGTTTACCTTAGTGCTAAGAATCCCAATGTTTTTTCTTATTATCAATCTGTTTATTAAATAATTATTTTATTTTCATATGTGTGTGCCATGTGTGCAGTGCCCACAGAGGCCAGAAGAGGGCATCACATTCCTTGGAACCGAAGCTATAGGAAGTTGCGAGCCACCAAAAGTAGGTGCTGGAAGCAAACTCTGGTCCTCTGCAAGGCAGGAAGTATTTGTCACCATTGAGTCACCTCTCCAGCCCAACCAGAGGTTTAGAAGTACAAATGACCCATGAAGACTATAGCTGGGAACTAGGCTGTAACCACACAACACAGCACTCTTAGGAGCAGTGCTTCTAAAGTGCATTTTAATGACACGGTCATAAAAGTGAAGTGGGCGGGGCTCAAAATTGCTAAGAACTGAGTGGCAGAGCACACATGTAATCCCAACACTAAGGGGGGAGGAGAATCATGGCAAGTTTGAGGCCAGTCTGGTCTGTGGAATAGCAAGTTACAGACCAGCCAGGCTTACATAGTGAGACCCTGTTTCAGGCAAAGCAAAACAAAACAGAAATCCAAAGCTTGCTGAAAAAATGTAAGCATTCAGACACTGCTGGTAAAAACATAAAATATCACTTTGCAAAACAAGTCAGGCAGTTCCTTGAAACATTAAACACACTGTTGCCACATGGCTCAGCCATCCTCTCAGTCATATGCACAAGGAAAGGGAAGCATGCGTTCACTTAAAAACATGCACACAAATGCTCCCAGTAACATGACACATAATCACCCAAAACTAGTATCAAATTCCCATCAGTGGACAAAAGGGACACAAAATGGATATAGCCATATGATGGAATATTACTCAGCCATAAAAAGAAACTAAGCAAGACACATGATACAAGATAAGCTTGAAAACACTGTGAGCTGGTGGTAGTAGCATACCCCTATAAACACTGTTAGCCAGTTATAGTGGCACATGCCTGAATTCCAGCATTCAGGATACCGAGGCTAGAGGACCATGAGTTTGAGGTCTAGCCTGGATGCTGAGGCTAGGGGACTGTGAGTATGGGGTAAGATCCTTGCTAAGATCCTGTCTTAAAAAATAAAAAACAAGGACTGGGAAGATAGCTCAGCCAGTGAAGTGTTTGACTTGCAATGAGGACCTAAGGTTGGTCCCTTGAACCCATGTAAAAAGCCAGGAGTAGTGGCCTGTACTTGAAATCCTAGCACTGCAGAGGTGGAGACAGGATCATTGGGACTCGATGGCTAGTCAGCCTAGTTTACTTGGTGAGTCTCGGGCCAATGAGAGACCACCTCAAACAAGCAAACAAACAAAAGGCATATGGCATCTTAGAACACCTGAGGCTGTCTACATGCAGGTGAACACATGTGCATGTGTACCTTCACACACGGACACAAACACACACATACATACATATGCACACATGCATACATGCATCCACACATACACATATTCACACATACATACACTTGCACAGTGACAGTGGTTACTTAGGGGTGGTGAGGTGTGATGATTTTTGTCACCAGGCTTTTCTGCAGTTTGTAGAACATACTACCAGAAGCCCATATCATTTCTGCTATCAGGGAATAAACAATGAAAACTTTCTATAGTCTACACAGAGGTCATCCCTGGGAAGCCAGCCTGAAGTACAGAGCCCGGGGAAGGACACTAGCAGTGTGATCACTTGTCCCCTCCATAGGAGCCCTGGGTCCCCACCAGGAGTGGCACTTACTCTTTTGCAAGATGGCATTTAAAACATATTCAAGTTCTTCAGCAGTCACCTCCATGTCCTGTAGTGGAGACAGTTGCTTCTTATGGTCTAGTTCTAAGCTTGACTTGGCTGCTGGGACAGAGTGGCCCTGGAGATGCTGTGGGGACACTGTGAAGGATGCTGTGCCACCTCCATGATAGCTGTAGCCCGTTGGCTTCTCAGGGAAGGCCTGACCACCCCAGGAAAGATACCAACCTGGAGAGGCTCAGGAAATGGGGCAAGGTGCACTGCCCACTCCCTCAAGGATTCAGGATTCTCTGGGACTGTTGCAAAAAGCTTCCTGAAGACTCTTAAGGGGTCAGAAGGAGTTTGCAGAGTCAGTGAGTTCCTAGCCTCCTTATGGGATCAGTACCCAGAAAGCTGGAAATGCATTATATATTGAGGTCTCTATTCAAGCCAGAAAACCCAGGCAGGGTTCACTAATTAAAAACCCCAGCATCCAAGAAGCAGAAGCTAGTTAGAGACATGCAAGAGGAGCCTTCTGTTCTAGGAAGCCTGGGTGGACTTTTTAGTTTAGCTTGTCTTGGCTTAGTGGGGTTTTTGTTGTTGCTGTTGTTTTTAGGTAGGGTCTCTGTAGCCCATGCTAGCCTGGAGCTCACTAAAAATCTTTTTATCCCAGCCTCTCTGGTGTTGGGATGACCACATCCAGCTTCCCAGGTGGTTTTATACACATGAAGGTTTTGCATAGCTCTGCTGTGGGGCATTCAGTAACCTAAATGTTAAACTAGCCCAAATGAACACAGTCACCTTCAGAGTTATTTTAACATGTGCAGCCCTCTCTGCCACTGAAGCCTCTGGGTCTAGGGAGCAGGTGTTTGGGACGTTCAGCACATTGCAGAACATGGCTACCCTGACTCAGGGAAAGAGACATGGAGTTGGTTGGCTGGGCAAAGAACAGGATGAGGCTTGAGCAGGGAATCTTTATAGGACTTTTTTGTTTGTTGCCACTAATAATTTGGATGGATCTCCTGTTTAGTTCCTCCCTTCCCTTCCAAATGCTTTCTCTCTCTACCTTGGTGACTTCTGTCCCTGCCCCATGCACTTGTTCAAGGGCTATAGCAGTCATGCTGGGTCAACCCATCACCTCTAGAATCCTTGGGAGAGCATCTGACTCTGGGATTTTGCCCCTGCCTCATCCCCTACCACACTCTTCTTTGTTCAGCCCTGGAGAGTGGTGGTTGCACAGGGCCCCCTTTCTCCACCTGAATCCCCTGCCCAACTTGTTTACAGCAGTGGCTGCAATGTCACTATCAGATATTGTCATCTAGGTTTGGGATCACCCAGGTCACCCAGGAGCCCTAGACAAGGAGAATGGAGCAAGGTTATACAGTCACTAGTGTCTGACGTCTTTTACTATGGCCCCGAACAGGGCAGTGTCCAGTTCAGCAGTGGCAGGAAGTCAGATGAAGTCTTATCTTGTCCCTCAGGATTGCCAGGGGCCCTATAACAAAGCTGAGCGGTCATTGGGAATGGGATGAAAGACCAAGGATAGGAAATGGGCAGATGCTCTGTGCTTCTCAGTGACCCTGGTCTGCCAATCCTGGATACCCCTGGTGCTAAGGGATGAAACCGTTTTGTGCTCAGGGACTCCCTTTGGGGCCCTGGGTTTATACTGCCTAGTACCTCCCTGAATGGTAGAAATCAGAGAAAATTTTAATGGCCATGATTTGGGGGCAGAGTCACTGGCCCTTTAATGCTTCTGATCTACTGTAAGAGGCTCCTGAGCTAGTTCTGAACTCCTTTGAGCCCTAACCCTCATCCTCACCTTATCCTGTCACAAGTTAGGAGAGGTGCACTGCTGTGAGCTGGGGCTCAGGCCTCCAGGGACCAGAACTAACCTTACATTGCAGCAAGCCCACCAGGGCATGTGGAGGTGCTGTTGTCAAGTTCACGATCACAGTCAGTCCTCTGCTGGGAACCCACAACAGGCCCCCACCCTGGATGGGAAGGGAGGACTAGGGCAGTTTGCATCCTACCTCACCAGCAACTTGCTGAAACAGGGCCCGGAACTGCTGCTCCTCCTCTGTCTCTTGCTCTGGTGGAGTCGGCTTCAGAGGCTGCAAGTATCAAAGGAATTCACACTACAGGCACAAAAAGACCCACAGAAAAGAACAGCAGGGAAAAAAAGAGTCCCAGGCTGAACACGAGGTTGTCCCTGAGGGAAAAGCCAGTAGCGCTCTTGTCTAGTATGTATGAGACTCTGGGTTCAGTTCCCACATGCAAAAGAAAAGAGTGGGAAACACACCACACAAAACCAGCCTACTACAGAGATGGTCACATGGGGGTTAAAGCAAGGGGCTTCCCAGTTACACACCAGAACTGGCCTGCCTGGGATTCACCTGTCATCTCCTGACTGCTGCAAGGTAGATGAGCAAGCATGGGAACACAAAGCTTAGCGTGCATGGCCCCATTTTAGTTGGTCAAAAAGCTCTGTCTCCACGAGGGACTACCTAAGTTTTACTTAGCACAGTTAAGAAAGCTAAGGGTACCTGACTGGCAGCTGGGCACAAGGCTGCCATGCTCCAGCCCTCCTCCCTGCCCTTCCCTCCATCCATTACCTCTCTTAATAGAGGGTCACCCTCTGGAGCAAGAGTCTGTTTCCAGTACCCAGCACTGGGCCTGCTGCACTCAAAGGGCTCAGTATAAGTTTTAGGTGTTTGTTTTCTTGTGGGTTTTGCCCATTTATAAACTGTAGCCCTAGGGGGCAGCATAGAGGAGAAGGCTCCCTCCCAAAGCAGGTTTCTGCTACCCTGGAGCTTTAGATTGCCCCACCCCCACTCCCTGTATATTCAACATCATTATGTAGAGTGAAGATATTCATAATGACATTTGATTTAAGCATATCATGTACTTTATTAATGTATACCATATACTTTATTAATTCCTCCATTGGCCTGTCCTGTACCCTCCCACTAGTCCCCTTCCTCTTCCCAAATAATTGTCCTTCTACTTTTTTGTCATATATATGACATGTAGACACATGTCATATATATGACATGTAGACCTACATCTTAGCACATGTTTAGATAGATCTTTAGATACATCTTTTTATTTATTTTTATTTTATGTGTATGAGTGTTTTGCCTGCATGTATGTAAGTGTACCCATTCATGCAATGTCCATGAAGGCCAGAAGAGGGAATCAGATCCTCTGGAGCTTGGAGTTCAGTTACAGACAGATGTGAGCTGCCATACGGGTACTGGGAACTGAACCTGGGTCTTCTGGAAATATAGCCAATGCTCTTAACCAGTGAGCCATCTCGCCAGCCCCCTTTAGATATATATTAAAGGTCTCACAGACCCCACCATGAAGTCTGTGTTCCCTGAGTCAATAGAAAAAGATTTACTTGCTTCACTTTTTTTTCTTCTTTCCTTTCTTCCTTATTTTCTCTCTCTCTCTCTCTCTCTCTCTCTTCTCTCACTCTCTTTCTCTCAGTATTTTGAGACAGAGTTTCATGCATCCAAGACTAACCTTAAGTTCAGTCTATACCCAACATTTACCTTGAATTCCTGGTCCTCATGCCTCCACTTCCCAAGTGCTGGGATCGTAGTATGCTATACCACGCCTGGCTTTGATTATTTCCTTAAATAAAGAATTTTGAAGATTTTCACCCTCTGGGGCTGGAGAGATGGCTCAGCAGTTAAGAGCACCAGCTGCTTTTGCAGAGGACCCAGATTTGATTTCCAGCACCCACATGGCAGCTAACAACCATCCATCACTCCAGTTCCAGGGGGATTCAACATCCTCGTCTGACCTCCTCAGACATTGGCCTACATGGGTACACTTAGACATATATGTAGGCAGTACACTCACACATAAACTAAAAAATAATAAAGTTTTTTTTTAAAAAAAAAACAAGATATTTCACCCTCTTCATAAGCAGCAGGGGTCTCCCAGGTGGAGGAGGAAGCCCAGAGAGAGAAAGTGCCCAGCAGAACTTTATCAGTAAGCATTCACCTGGCCCTACCTAGTCTCATGGGGTTGTGAGGGACTAGAAACTACAACCCTGTCCTCCAGGCTTACAATCAGCTAGGGCGTACCTGATTGCAAGCAACCATCTCCTGAACTTGATTTTTTTAAAAATATACTTTATTTATTATTTTTATTTTGTGTGTATGAGTATATTGCCTGCATGTATGTAAGTGCACCCATGTCTTGCAATGCCCACGGAGGTTAGTTACAGATGGTTGTTAGCTGTCACATGGGTGCTAGGAATTGAACCTGGGTCCTTTGTAAGAACAGCCAGTGCTCTTAACCCCTGAACCATCTCTCCAGCTCTCTGAACTTGTTTTGTTGTTGTTGTTGTTGTTGTTGTTGTTGTTTTTGAGGCAGGGTCTTCCTGTAGCCCCAGCTGTCCTGGAACTCACTATGTAGACCAGGTTGGCCTTGAACTCACAGAGATCCACCTGCCTCTGCCTCCCGAGTGCTGGGATTAAAGGCATGCGCCACCATGCCCAGCCCTGAACTTGGTTTTTAAGAGGCACTATGGTTAGGAAGAAGGGTTTGGGAAACTTCAGCTTAACTCCATTCTCCCCAGGAACTTCAGAGGACTCACCTCAGGAAGGTTGACATCTAGACTCTCATCCAGGTCCCTGCAGGACAGAAAACGCACTGTCTCAGCTGTGGACTTGCAGCTCATGGGGCCCATTGGAGCCCTTCGAGTTCAGTGTCATTACATCTCACAGGATTGACAGAACCCCTGCACCAACACCTCACCCCAGCCTCTCAACCCTGCCCAGCATGCCATCAAGTGGGAGAGAAACAAGGACAGTTCTCATTCAAGGAAAACTTGGAAAAAAATTGTATGAAAACAAGTTTTCCCCGTTTTCCCGAGGCACCGTGACAAGGGCTCTGAAGAGACCTGCAGAAGGGTGGGGCCTTGGAGAACCCCAAGAGAGCAGCAGCTCCACTACACACACACCATACATAAGCTTTGTCTCCAGAGGAGACACACTTTGTCAGAGACCAGAGACCATCAAGAGTTGAGCACAAGGGGGTGGGAAACAAAAATAGTACAGAGTCAGCACAAGTGGTTGGAGAGCTGAGAATGGGTGACTGTTGAGTGCTCAGCCCTAAATGGAACATCTATGTCGCCCCCTCCAAGGCGCAGGGAACATCACGGAAGAGGGAGTAGAAAGAATGTAAGAGCTGAAGAAAGGGGTGCAGTGGTATGGAATGCTGCCTTCTAGACGTGACGTGGCTGTTGTGCTCTTGAACTCACAGCAGCTGTGATTACCTGCACAGAATCTGTACAAGATTGGGCCTGCCAGCATCTGTCATGGAAGGGTGAGGTGCTCACGAGGCCCTACCCCCGTCCCCTGAGGATTTATAGGTAGTTAATGGTTGCTAGTAGGAAGGGTCTTACAACTGCCTCCCACCCCCAGGATCTATAGACAATTAATGGTTGTTGTGGGGAGAGAGAGACATTTTCTTCACTGGTGTAGCCATGGGTAAGTTGACTGTGCTCCTGTAAATAACCGTGATGAAAATCACTGAATTATGTACATACAGAATAAAGACATGAAAGCAGAAGGAGACTAGCTGGACAGAAGAAGGAGATCAGTGGGATGGGGAAGGGGACAAGAGACAGTAATGGGGTGATTATGATCATAATACATTATGTGCATTTATGAAAAGTCATTATACATTGTTATGTATAATTAATATATGCTAATACAAATTTAAGGCATTTATTTATTTATTTATTTATTGGTCTTTTTGTAGACCAGGCTGGCCTCGATCTCACAGAGATCCACCTGCCTCTGCTCTTTTTATTTTTTTAATTTATTATTTTTATTTTATTTATATGAGTGTATTGACTGCACATATGTAAGTGCACCCATGTCATGCAATGCCTGCAGAAGTCCAGCATCAAATTCCCCTGGAACTGGAGTTACAGATGGTTGTTAGTCACCATGTGGGTGTTGGGCATCGAACCTGGGTCTTCCATAAGAGTAGTCTGTGCTCTTAACTACTGCGCTATCTCTGCAGCTCAAGGTCTCTTTGTAAAATAAAATAAAATAATTACAGAATTGGGTAGACTCAAAAACCTGCCCTTGAGCTGGGCATGGTGGCACATACTGTAGTCCTTGCCTTTGGGAGGCTGAGGCTGAGGTATTGCAAGGCCAGCATGGGCTACATAGCAAGACCTTGTCTCAAAAACAAGAAACAAGTGGCAAGCGTCTGTCTTCCCAGCTGCTTGAGGGGCTGAAGCAGGAAGACCAAGAGCTCAGGGCTTGTTGGGGCTACAGAATAGTTCAAGGTCAGTCTGGGAAACTTTGAGATCCTTTCTCAAAATTTAAAAAAAAAAAAGGGGAACCTGGGAATGTCCCTCAGTGGAAGAGCACTTGTCCAGTATGTTCAAGGCCCTGTGTTCAATATCTGATAGCAAAAATCAGCCCACAACAACAAGTCACCCTTATGTATCACACTCTTGTCCCTCTGTGGGAATGACTTCTGGGAATACTTTCTGTTGCAAATAGAATCCTACCTAACCTTGTAACCAAATATTGTGTTTTGAGATCATTTAATACTATCTCAGCTTGTTTATAATGTAAAGAATTTCACTAGGCCTCAGTCTCCTCTTGTAACCTAAACATATATCTTTAGTCCCTCATGACCCTTTCTTGCCCCTTACCCAGAATAGTGTATGTGTTGTGTATGTTGTGAAAATATCAAGTGCTAAAAGCAGAACACAATGTTGAAAGCAATAAATTATTCCACTTATATTGCAAACAACAGGTGGGATTAGATTGGTGACATCTGTGGTTGTATGTGCTGTTCTGGGTTAGTAGGGGTCAGAAGAGGGGAAATCCACTGGTAAGACCAATTCCTCTTTTCCCAGGTGATGATAGATGTAGTAGAGAGAGAGAAAGTCCTTCTGTTCAAGAGAACAGTTCTAAGAGAAATCTGAAGGAACAAATTCTCAGAACAGATCTGGCTCACTCTTGGTTCTAACTGACACCAAGGTGTCTGGCTGTCTTCATTCAGGCACAACCATAATGTGGCATAGCTCAGTGGTACCCCTTCCCACAGGGTAAATCCTTTTTCCATTGAGGGCTGTGTGCTCGTGGGCCTGTGTTTGGGAAAACCAAGGAAGTGATGGGGACATGTTAACTTTGCTATGTATGTACTGGGGACCCATAGTATTTGGATACATCGGCAGAAAGAGTCAGATCACACCAGCTTCATTGAGGCTAGAAGCATTTGAAGAGATACAGAGATTGGAACCTGAAATATTCAGAGAGTAACTGCTAGTTCCTTTTCATTGTCAACTTGATTGGATTTGGAATAACCTAGGAGACACACCTCTGGGTGTGCCTATAAGGGAATTTCCAGAGGGGTTTAATTGAAGTGGGAAGACCCACTCTGAATGTGGGCAGCACCATCTCATGGGCTGGGATCCTGGACTGAATGAAAAGGAGGCAGTGAGCTGAGCACCAGCATTCATCCCTCCCTGCTTCCTGACTGTGGATGGGATGTGACCAGCTGCCTCAGGCTACACCTTCTGTACCCTCCAGCTAGTGAGCCAAAATAAACCCTTCCTTCCTTAAATTGTTGTTTTTTTCAGGTATTTTGTCATAGCAGTGAGAGAAGTAACTAACACAAGAACTAAAAAGCTAAAAGGCAATACAGTCAATGTTAAGGGTGACTGTGATGGTTAGTATTATTGTCAACCTGACAGGATCTGGGATCACTTAGACTAACCTCTGGGCATGTGTGTGAGAGATTATGTTGATTAGGTTAACTGAGGACCTTATATGGTTGCTTTGTCAAAACAGATACTGGAAAATACATCCTCAACTTGTATTAGTATCTGAAGTATCTAGGAAAGCACTAGAGAAACAGTAAAGACCCCATTGCTTCTATTGGTCAAGAAAAGGACTACAGTGTGCCAGAAAGCTTCAGTTGTCAACTTGACACAGCTGGGAAGCGGGAACCTCAGTCCAGGAATGTCCTATATTGAACTGGCCTTTGGGAATGTCTGTGAGGCTTTTTCTTGATTATTGAGTTATGTGGGAGCCCAGCCCATTGTGGGTGGTGCTACCCTTGGGCAGGGGATTCTGGGTTGTATAACAAAGCAGACTGAGCACAGGCCAGAGGAGCAAGCCAGTAAGCAGCATTCCTCTGTAGTTTGTGCTTCAGCTCCTGTCTCCAGGTTCCTACCCCGGCTTCCCTGAATGATGAACTATAAGCTAGAAGATGGAAGAAACTCCCTCTAGATAGCTCTGTGCACCTTGGTCATTTCTGGGCTGTATGTGGTGTTTTCTAGACTGTCTTCCCTGAAGGAATAAATGATTTCTTGTATCATGAGCCATTTTCCCCCTGCCACACAGCCACCGAATGGCAATGGTGGGAAATACTAGCCACAGAGTTAACTAATTTTTAAAAAAGCAACTCTTATGTTTAGACACCTGGGGGCAGACAAGGCTCACCAGTGTTTGTGTAAACTGGAGCTGAAAAAACATGTTATTTTGGAAACTCCAAGAGTCACTCCCACTGTCATGCACATAAATTAGTATCCCGAAAGAGACTCCCACTCTAGAAGCTTCTTGGAAATAAGGTCTGAGAAATGAAAGGCTACCCAGGAGGTCTGGTGAGCATAGCCCAGGAGCAGGCAGGTTGTCATTGGCATGCCTGAGAAGGGACACACAGAGCTCAGGGGATGCAGACTGCTTTGCAGTGTCTCCTGGGCAGGTGATAGGAGGGGACGATGGAGTCCCCACTCCACCAGCCCTCAGTGGCCTCAACATGCAGGGCACATTGAGGAAGAAGGGCTCTGAGATTCCCAATCCTCACCAGGTAACAACTTTCTTCTCGGAGAAGATTCTCAGGCAGAAGTCAGCCTCCTGGTGTGGCTCAAAGGTGCTGGGAATCAGGATGTAGTCCCCTGGGGGCAGCTGAAAGCGGCCAGAGACTTCTCTCAGGTTGATGAATGTCTTGCTTCTGGCCAGGGAGGCATGATACCTGAAGAAGTCCCTGCTCAGGTGTTCGTCCTTGTCTGGACACTGCAAAGAAAAGCAGGGGTATCCAGGCAGGTGTGGTCATGGGTCTTCACACTCAGTTTCAGGACTGCTGTTGATCACAGGCACAGAATCTAGAAGCAGTAGGAATTCAGAGCAGGGACATTGAGCTGCTCGTGCCCTACCTGGTAAATGGCATAGCCGATGGTCAGCATGTTGGTGCCAAATCTCTTGAGTTTCCTGCGATCTTTCTGCATCAAGGCTGCTAGGAAGGTGCAGCTGTCCTGGCCCTCGGCCCTTTCAGTCAGGGACAGCTTTATCTGAGGGTTGGTCCAGAAGGTATCTGCCATTTAAAGGGTCTGGATTACTGTCCTTTCTTTAGAGATACAAAACTAGGGCTGGAGTGATGGCAAGGTGCTGGCTATGTAAGTATAAGGGCGTGAGTTCAATCCCCCAGAACCTATACTTTTAAAAATAGGACAATAAAATGGCTCAGTAGATAAAGATTCTTGCTGCTACTGCTACGTCTGGCAACCTGAGTTCAATCCCCAGGACTCACTTGTAATCCCAGTGCTGGGAAGGTGAAGACAGCTAGATCCCTGAGCTCACTGGTGGCCAGCCTAGCTTACTCAGTAAGCTCTAAGCCAATGACACGCTCTCTCAGAAAAACAAGGTGAGGGGGCTGGAGAGATGGCTCAGAGGTTAAGAGCACTGGCTGCTCTTCAGAAGACCAGGGTTTGGTTCCCAGCACCTATATGGCAGCTAACAACTGTCCATAACTCCAGCTCCAGAGCATCCGATTGCCCTCTTCTGACCTCCATGGGTGTGGCATGACACAGGTGCACTTACATGCATGCAGGTGGTACACTCATATACAAAAAATAAAAATAATAAATAAAATAATATTTGAGGAATGATGCCTGAGGTTATCCTCTGGCCTACACCACACACACACATACACACACACACACACACACACACATACACACACACGGGGGGGGGAGAGAGAGAGAATGACAAATTACAAAACAAATCCTAGAAGGATATGCATACACACATACATGTCACATGCACATACATATACGTACTCACTTTCACATACACACAAAGAAAATAAATTACAAGACCAAACCCATAAAGGACACATTCCCCTTCACTGTTACCGTGTGCTCCTAATCCTGAGAAAGTGGTTTCTCCTCTGCCTTCCCTCCTCAGCCCTCTTGCCCTGATTCCCACTACCCTCAGCAAGGATTCCAAGCCCCCTGCCTCACACTGCCTCCATCTTTTCAGCCATTGCTCACACATCTCTTAAAGGCTGCTTTCCCTGATCTGGTCTGATGTTTACCCATTTTATATTTTTTTCTTTCAAAGTTTTAGAGGGGAGTTTGGGACCTTGCTGTCTTCCCGGTGTCCCTGTCCTGATAGATACTCTGTCTGGGTTTGTCTCACGCCTGCTCAGACATGAGCTCTGGCTCATGTTACCCCTTTGCCTCAGATCGTCTGGACAAAGTCAGGAAGCTCACAGTTTTCGCCAAGCAATACTGGCTCAGGGAATTTCCACTTGGCAGGGTGGGGGGTGGGGGGTGGGGCATGAAAGACTTTTGTTTGCTGGTCTGTAGGCACTCTTACTGTGTGTGTGGATGAGGGCCGAGGAAGGCCTCTGCTTATAAAGAATCTGGACAAAGGAAGCAGTCCACCCAGGAAAGAGGGGAGCCCAGTGTTACAAACGTGTGGAGCCAGAATCCTGATAGAACCGTGCCTGAAGCCTGCCCCACTTCTATGATCTTTTCAGTTCTGTTGGGCAGTAAGTAGGTCCTCTTTACCTCAGTTAGCTTTACTTTACCCAGCCTAGCACTCATCTAGAGGAAAGCCTCTATTGAAGGACTGTTGAGATCAGATTGGCCTACGGACATGTCGGTTGGGAGTTGTTTTGATTGTTTGCTTATTTGTCTTTTTGAGACGTGGTCTCCCTGCAGCCCCAGCTAGCCTGAACTCACTATATAGACCAGGCTGGCTTTGATATCACAGAGATCCACCTACCTCTGCCTTCCAGAGTGCTGAGATTAAAGGTGTGTGCTACCATGCCCAGCAATTGTTTTGATTTTCAATTGATGTAGGAGGACTCAGCCCACACTGGGTAAGCTCATTCCTCAGGGAGTTGGGGGAGGTTAGTCCTGGGCTATATAAGCGCCTATATAAGTTAGGAGCTGGGCGTGCTGGCATATGCCTTTAATCCCAGCACTGGGGATGCAGAGGCAGGTGGCTCTCTGTGATTTCGAGGCCAGCCTGATCTACATAGTGAATTTTAGGCCAGCTGGAGCTAGAGAGAGACCCTGTCTCAAAAAGACCAAAAAAAATAAAAATAAAAATAAATTAGCTAGGCATGAGCCTGTAAGCGGAACAGCAAGCAGCATCCTCCATGGTTCTGCTTCAGTTACTGCCCCAACTTCCTTCAATGATGGACTGTGAACTGGACATGTAAGCCAAATATACTCTTTTCTCCCCAAGTTGCTTTTGGTTGGAGTGTTTTATCAAGGCAACAGAATGAAATTAGAATAACTGCTAACCTGGTATGGCTTATGATTCTGCTACTTGAACCTTCCAACACCGAGTTTCCCTGCACGTCTCTTACCAGCTGTCTGCTAAGAGGAGGCCACCTACCTAGGAAGTTGCGGCATCCACCAGCTGTGGAGCCTCGAACCCAGCTCCCTTGATGGACAGTCACCTCCCACCTGTGAAGGGCACTGTCCTCTAGGGCATCAGGTGTGAGGTTGCAGATCTCCACCTTGTCGAAATGGGCCTTGAAGTCCTCAAACGCCATCCTGAGACAGGCAGGGGAGACAGACATGGGAGGCTGATGGTGATGGCCCCAACTGTCTGTGCATTCAACTACCTAACTCTCTTCCTGGGGAGGGGGAGGCCCACAGGTCCCTCCCAGGTGGAGGGAGGGAGGAAGTGAAGTGGGAGGGAAGAGGAAGGGAGAGGGGGAGGGAGGAGGGTGCCTCCTGGCCTTGTGCACCCCACTTGCATGCATTAGTGAAGGAATGGAAAAGACACTGTACCAGAACTCCCCATCATCCAGAGCAGTGTGACCCAGTCGCTTCTGCTCCTCCAGATTCACAGAGCGCCACTCAGGAGAGCTGAGAGAACACAGCCACAGTTCAGCCAAGTGAGTCATGCATCACGTGGGGAATCACATCCTGTTCAGCAAGGCTCATTAGGCCCAGGGAAATGAGGCCAGTTCTACATTAGCTCCAGCATGGAGTGGCCAGGATCACTTAGATCATCATGGGACTGTGACAGGGAACTGAACACTGGAGCTCAGCTGCAGAGGGTACCCAATTAAGGGCTCTAGCCTTCAGTCTACCGGTGGCCTAGGGCAAGCAGAAGCTATTCCCGTTTATAAACTGACACTATGCAAGTGCTTCTAATGTCTTTGGTTGCCTGTGGTTGATATTTGAAGTACCAATGCCCCTTTATGTGACCTCACCAGGAGGGCTCAGGTAGAGAGGAGGGCTCTAGTTACTGAAGAGAAATGCCCACATTCTCGCAGGCTTGAGCTTGATGTTCCAGACTCAGTGTATGTGTTGTGATTCCCCAGTTGTCTCCTAACCCAGTGGTCCCCCTAACCCTGGGTGGGTTCCCCAGGAGATGCTAAACCATGAGGACATCCTTATGTATGTCTATACACACCAATGATGAAATTCAGTTTGCAAACAGACTCAATAAGTGTTTAGCAGCAATGGCTAATACTAAAGTAAGAAGTCAGAGCCAACACTGCAACAAAGGTTGTGAATGTGTTACCAATCAATTATCTATCATCTATATAATCTATTATCTATCATCCATGTATCCTCCATCCATCATCTGTTCATCAACCATCTACCCACTCACCCATCCACATATTCATCTATCATCGATACTTCTGTCCTTTAATCCATCATCTATCCATCTACCTATCCATCCATCCATCCATTATCTATCCATGAACCACTCAACATCTATCCTCTAGGGATCTACCCATCTCCTTCCCCCCAGCAATAGGGTTACAGGTACACACCATCATGCCTTATTTTTACTAGGATCATATGTCTCTATCTCTCTATCTCTCTCTCTATCTATCTCTCTATCTATCTATCATCATCTATCTACCTATCTATCATCTATCTATTCTATCATCTATCTAGCATCTATCTATCTATCTATCTATCCATCATCTATCTATCTATCATCTATCTATCTATCTATCTATCTATCATCTATCTATCTATCATCTATCTATATCTATCTTCTATCTAATTATCCTGTAGATCTTAACAACTTCCTCTTACAATGTTTTTCTTTCCTTAAGCTGAGAATGTTCACTTTTTCACTTGAAGGTACATTTTCTGATTTCTCTGGCCTGACTGAGTGGCGACTGTCACTGCTTTTTCACTCAGGGTCATTGTTAAGTAAAATATGACCACTTGAATACACACACTGCAATGGTCCACAAGGCAGGTGATGTACACGTGTAGATTTGGTCACACCACTCAGAATGGTGTGACAATTAATATTTGTGAATTATTTCTAGAATTTTCCATCTGATACTATATTTTCAGATGTCAGTTGACCATAGCCAATTGGAACCATGGAAAGTGAAGGGGGTTGCCACAATTCAACTCTCTTTGCCTCTGCTGTGTACTATGACCATGTGGCAGATCCATTTGTGTGCTATGGATAATGACTTTACCCAGGCAGGACTGGGGGAACCTGAGGAGGCCCAGCAGGACAGAAGAGAGAACTGAGGGCTGCTGTTGGCTTACTGAGCTGTTTCTTCTAAGTGGCTCAATCCCAAGTGATCCATCACGTATACACACATACACACATGCACATAACACACATGTACACACATGCACACATATGCATACACACATACACAATACACACAGCACATATACACATATGCACATAACAAATACGTAATATTCACACATACATACACATGCATATAACACACATACATATATACACATACACTCATATATATATAATACTCACAGATATGTACTACATGTAATCATATACAAACTTTCACACGCATAAACATAACACACATACATATACACATAACATACATATACAGTCACACAACACACTCACATATACTTATACAGTACATACACACATGTATGCTATATACAGTCCTGCACAAACTTTCACACACACACACACACACACATCACTGCTGCTAACTGGGGTCAAGGTCCTTCCCAGAGATATAAAACATCCCCATGGCAGTAACATGTTCATCGACAAATCCAATCACATGAAAGTGAAGAAGCCTTCAAGTGAGAGTTGTTTCTTGAAGATCATTTGACCACAGGTGCCTAAGGCTTGAAGGGAGGAAGCCGATAGGCAGAGGCAGGACAGGGAGGTCTGGGCACAAGCCAGTCCTTCATGGATCTGCACAGGCCAGCCAGGTCAATGTGCCTGAAAGCTGGCACAGAGAAGGGACAGAGCCACTGACCTGTCACTCCATGGCCCATTCCATTCCACCTGGCCCCAAGGGTTTCGAACTCGAATGAGCTGGACACTCCGGCCTTGGAAGTTTACCTGAAAGGGAAAAGCATCAAGGACATGTGGGCTGATGAGCCTGAGGTTGACTCCAGCCTCCGGTGAGACCTGGGGTCTATCTCTGCCAAGGCTGACGTCACCCAAGCTCTTGGGGTAAACATACTGAAGATGTGCACAAACTCCTATCTTCCTTTGTACCCCTTGTTTTTCTGAGACAGGGTTTCACTCTATACTGACCTCAAATTTGCCATCCTCTTGCCTCAGCTTCCCAAGTACTGGGATTACAGGCCTTACCATCAGGCCTGCTATAAAACTTTTCTGTAAAAAGCTTTTTGTTATTTTTTTTTTTTTTGGAGCTGAGGACTGAACCCAGGGTCTTGCGCTTGCTAGGCAAGTGCTCTACCACTGAGCTAAATCCCCAACCCCAAAAAGTTTTTTTAAATTTATTTTTATTTTATATTCCTGAGTATTTGGCCTGCATGTATGTAAGTGCACCTATGTATGCAATGCCCATAGAGGCCAGAAGAGGGCATCAGATCCCTGGAACTGGATTTAATGGATGGTTATTAGCTGCCATGTGGGTGCTGGGAATGGAACCCCAGTCCTCTGTAACAGCAGCCAGTGTTCTTAACCACTGAGCCATCTCTCCAGCACCCAAATTAATTTTCTTTCAAGACAGGGTTTCATTATGTAGCTCAGGCTCACCTCAAAGTTGCTGTGTAGCTCAGACTGGCCTTAGCTTCCCAAGTGCTGGGATTACATGTGTGCAGTACTACCTCCAGCTAGCTCATCTGTTCTTTTAAATTTTTATTTACTTTACCACTAGTATGCGGTATGATATGTATACCTGTGGGGGCAGGGGGTACACAAGTATACCATGGTCCACATGTGAAGGTCAGAGGACAACTTTTGGGAATTGTTTATCTCCTTCCACAGTGGGATCCTGAGGATTGAACTCAAGTTGTCAGGTTTGTGCAGCAAGTGCTCTTACTGGCTGAGCCATCTTTCTAGCCCACACTCATCCTTTGGAACTTTCTAACTGAAAATACTTTCCTACTGACACTACTTGGCAGAATCACCAGTGATATTAAACCAACCTGTGTGGCATAGGCATGACGGAACTGGGAAACGAATCTAGGTACTAAGAAAGTGATCCATCTCCAATGAATGAGTTTTCCTCTAAGCTAGGGTCCCTGAAAGTCCCAGGTCCCAGCTGTGTGTGTGTCCCCTCAGCATCCACACAGAGGATGTGTTCATGGAGCCACCACCTGCTCCTGGTGGGTAATTAGTGTGAAATCAATCCCACATGCTGGGAATTTAAGTAGCTGCAATGGAGGGTTCTGTCTTCTACATCCTCCTTCTCCCAATTTGCTCAAAAGAAGATTCTTGGTGTTGGTGTTAGTTGCCTTGAGCCAGTAGTAGGAGACAGGTCAGGCATGCCTGAGCTCTGGGTAGAACAAGGAAGTATTGAGAAAGGTTTTAGGAGTGAGCTGGTGTTTATAAACTAGCCAGAATCCCTAGCTATCAGTTTCTCTTCCCATGCTGGGCATGAGCTGTATTGTGACATGTGAGAACAATTCATGTGGGCTAGCAATAACTTAGTTGGTAGAGTGCTTGCCCAACATTAAGCCCTGGGTTTGATCTCCAGCACCACATAAACCAGATGTGATGTCACATACCTGTAATCTCATAATCTCAGTGATCAGGTCAGGGAGGCAGGAGGATCAGGAGTTCAAGGCCAGCCTTGGCTATATAACAAGTTTGAAGCCAGCCTAGGATACTCGAGACCCAGTCTCACACAAAACAAAACAGTTCAAATCCTGTGAGTTCAGCATTTAGGAGCTCACAGCTTTGTAATCATACAAGTCAACCCTTGTCATAAGCCTCAGGTTCCAAATCAGCAAGCACTGATAGCTGGAAGATTGACCTAAAAACCACCTGCCTACTCAGGTGAGCAGGTGTCCCAGCATGCATGACAGGATGGACACAGGAACCAAGGCCAGTGGCTAATGCTCTGAAGAATCCCAGGCCCCACTTGCATCTCACAGAGGCACACAGCTGCATGGGGTGGGGTGGGGGGGCTTGACACACCCTTCTCCGCCCTCTTTGTTCCTCACACACTAGACATGCACTACTAAAACATTGCTGTGAAAAGAGGAGGTCAAAGGTGTTTGTGTCTTCTATAGACCACCCTGGACATGCATCCAGAGGGCGATGGGGCACAGCATAGGCTTTCCTGAGGGATGGAGCCCCTGGTGTCTTGTCTCCTTTGCCCTGTTCTCTCCTCTCTTCCATTTAGGTCTGTCCTCCAAGCTAGCCACTCCTTAGACGTTAAGGTGTTCTGTGTGGGCCCTGGGTGCCTGGGGATCAGATCCATATTGGACTACAGCTGCTGAGAGCAGGACTCATGATGGTCAATTTTGTGTGTCAACTTGACTGGGCCATGGTCCATTCAGATATTTGCTTCAAGGTTAGTCTGGTTGTGTTTGAGGACATTTCTGTGTCAGATTAAATTTAAATTGACTTGGCAAAGCAGCCTGCCTGCCAGTGTGGGGCCATTCTCGATGCTGAAGGGTAGAGCAGGGTAACAAGGCGGGGGGGCGGGGGGGACCTCACTGTGCTGTCTGCTCTCTGACCTGGCTCTCCTTCCTGGGCACTGGGAATCTCACCGCTGACTCTTTGGCCATGGGCCTTCCTTCACACTCCGCCTAGAAGGGATGCACAGGGATGCACAGGTATTCCCACAGCCTCCGTATAGCAGGAGTCACCCTTGGTGTTCACAATCCTATAGGCAAATCCCAACACATGTATAGTGAATATGCGTATGTGTATGCATTTACATGATGAATATACATTTGTACCCCTATACACAATTCATATATGTTTATAGATAAAATGCATATATATGTATATATACATAATTAACATGCATATATGTGTGTATGCATAATTCACATGCTTATATGTGTATATAAAACAAATATACATGTGTCATAATTCAAATATGTTTAGAGAGAAATGAATATGTATACATATATGTATGTATATGTATATGTAAGGAATAGGCATATATATTTTCAGAATTCAGATGTATATCTGTAAAGTGACTATGGATATGTGTGCATATAAATAATGAATATAGATACATATAAAGGAGCATATATGTGTATGCATATAGGTATATTCTTGTGGTGGCTCTGTTTCTTGCAGAACCCCGGTTGTATAGGACAGCTATGGAATTGGGAAAGAATTAATTTACAAACATAAAATGCAAGGAAGACCAGGTGCTGTCTCCACAAGTCAAGCTTGGTGTGTGGGGTCACCTGCCTGCTCTCTGGTTCCTGTTCGTTGCTTCCCATCCCAGCTGACGGTATTGGATGCGGCATCCTCTGTATTTAAGGACCAGGGTTATACTTTTTCCCCTACCCTGCTCCCCAACAGGGTGCCCTGCCCCTACCTGATCGAGCCCCGTCACAGTATAGGCATGACCCTTAATAAGACCAAAAGGCGTCCGGGCTTCAGATTCAGTGGCATTTTGGATCTAGAGCAGAGGAAGTACGGTGTCAAACTCATCATCTAAGCCAGTCCCCCTCCAGGCCAGCCTCGATCCAGACTAGCCCCCTCCAGGCCAGCACCAGCCTTAGCCACAGTCCCATGCCTGGCCTAGTGCATCCCAGTCCTCAGCTCCCCGAAGAGCAGTCATGTATGTAATCTGTAGATACTGAGGTGCAGGATCACTAAGATGTTCACCAGAGATACACAAGACCAGTCTCTTCCATGGTGGAGACTCCATACCTAGCAATGAGCTTACTCTTCTGCCCCGACACAGAAAGAAACTGGCCACCCCAGTCACACAGTTTAGTGAAGGATAGTCACAGTCACATATGGGAGAGGCCCACCTAGGTGACACATGTCTTGGTCAAAATATGAACCCGCAGAGAAAGTGGATAATCTGTCTACACAAAAAAAAAATAGATCCTTATAGTTAATCTAAGAAGAAAGAGAAAAATTGAATAGATTTCAAAAATAGAGTCTGGGTGTGGTGGCACATACCTTTAATCCCAGCACTTGGGAGGCAGAGGTGGGAAGATCTTTATGAGATTGAGACCAGCCTGTTCTACATAGCAAGTTCCAGGCCAGCTGAGGCTACAGGGAGACCCTGTCTCAAAAAACAAACAGCAGCAACAACAAAAAATACAGGAGATAAAATTATACCTGTATGTGTGTGTTATATGTACAGAGAAATTAGAGACCCGCCTTTAGGGCTCTGTTTACTGATAGGATTGATTATTTTCATGGTGTAGGAAATGAAAGGCACACACTTCAGGAAAGCACACTGGAGGGTTCCCTTCAGTGAGACCAAGCTGGCCTTCCATGTTGGTGTGCAGATGCGTGGCAGTGTTGTGTTGAAGGCAGCTGGGGGCCCTGGTTGGGGTCATTACTGTGGGAACACAGCTCTGGACGTGATGGGAGAGGCAAACAAAGGTGCCTCTAGGCCTCTTGAGGCTGCTACCCCTGACAGCAGGTGTATTTGTAATCCAAAAAGCATTAAATTACAGTTTGTTTATTTGTTTGAGGAAGTCTCACATTACCCAGGCTGGCCTTGAACTTGCCAGGTAGTAGAGGATAACCTTGAACTTGTGGTTCTCCAGCCACCACCTCCTGAGTGCTGGGATTATAGGCATGTGTCACTATGTCTGATTTATGCAGTGCTGGAGGTGGAGCTCAGGACTGTTTGCATGCTCGGCAAGTGATCTACCAACAAAGTCACATCTCCAGTCCAAAACTTGCGTTGTAAGACGAGTACCTTCCAGACACCCCTGCCCCTTCTGGGGCACAGCCAGAGGCCCTGGTGAGGATCTCTGTACAGTGGTACTTGGATGCAGTTAGCCAGACACTTACATCTATAGAGCAGCCCAGCAAGGAGCCACGCTTCAAGGCCTTCTCCAGGATCCTGTAGAAATCCTCTGGGGCCTCTTGGGTTTGGAAGTTCTCAGCCACACCCCCAGTAAAGTCTTCCATGGCCTCTATGGTGCTGCCCCCCTTCAGTGCCTCATAGCTCCCATTCAGCCTGAAAAGATAACAGAATGGGGACAGTTTGGGGAGTGGAGGGACAAGGAGTGGTTCAGGCTTTGCTCAGTCCACAGAGCACAGACCAGGCTCTACAAGGAAGAACAGTGGCTGACAGTGGGGACCTGGGTTCTAACAAGAGTCAGTCACCATGCCCAGATTCTGCTTGAAAAAAAATTTTTGAGACAGGGTCTTTCTATACGGCTGGGCTGGAACTTGCTGTGCAGACCAGGCTAGTCCCAAATTTGTAGCAATCCTCCTACCTCAGCTTTCCCAGTGCTGGGATTACAGGCCTTTGTCACCATGCCTAGCTTCTGCTTGAATTATGTGTGTAAATGTGTGTGTACATGTGTGTGGTGCATGTGCCTGTGCACACACAGAGGCCAGAGGAAGACATTGGTGTCCCACTCCATTGCTCTCTTCCTCATTCCCCTTTCTTAAGTTTAAGAGAAATTTTATTGATTCCAAAATTTCATACAATGAATTTTGGTTATATTCAGACCTCCTCCCCATCTCCACCCTCACCCTATCACCTCCTATCTCCTCCACCCCCAACTTTGTGTCTTCTATTTGCAAATGGAAAACCCCATCCATCTTACACATATAAACTGGATGCCAGAGAAATCACATCTCATTAGAGTGTCAGTGATCTGTAATTCTTTTTTTTGGTCTTTTTTTGAGACAGTGTCTCCTTGTAGCCCCAGCTGGCCTGGGACTCACTATGTAGACCAGGATAGCCTTGAACTCACAAATATCTGCCTTCCTCTACCTCCCAAGTGCTGTAATTAAAGGCATGCACCACCATGCCTGGCGTGATCTATAATTCTTATACTCAGGTATGCCAAAGTAAGGTTACTTTCATTTGTACATGGTTTGGGGTCAGAATATTCCCAGGTTTCTTGTAAATTAATTTTTACCCTTAATTTCTGTTTCTCTTGCACACTGCTTAGGAATTTCAAGTAGGGATTTCTTTTTCTCAGCAGTTGAGAACCTTGGTTTTCTTCATCAAAGTTAGCTGTTTGCAGCCCTTGCATGTGTTACACTTTGGATGTTTCTGGGCCTCACTCAGCACAATGACCACATAGTGGACCAAGGCTGATTCCCCTCAGGGTTTTGCTGTAGGTAAAAGCAGAAGCTAGGGCCTCACAACAGGCAGCAGTGAGCTCACAGGCCTCCAATTCAAGATTCTCTGAGTGGCAACTGGGAGGTCCCACTTTTCACCAGCTTATTTTCTGAAATTTGTAGCCTTCTCAGATTCCTAATGTTGTTGAGGACTGCAGCCCAGTCTTGACAGCCACTGGGTGATGATGATGGTCGGCCAACCATGGGTGCCACCAGGGTGCTGTTGCATGTGGGCAGTCATGCCAGTATGGCCCTGCTGATGCACATGGGTGGCCAGGCCAATGTCGCTCCTCTATCTTGGCTCCTCAGTTATTTTCCCTAAGTTCCAAGTTCAGAATTTTGAGCTCAATATGGAAGCATCAAGATTCTTAATCCAGTGAAGAGGCCTGGAGTCATATTTCTAGGTCCTTGTGCCCAGAGTCACCATCACTGCCATTGCTCCGGCTGCACCCCCATCTTGGCTCTCCAACCATTTTCTTTCTTACTCATCACATCCTGGGTTCAGAACTTTGAGATCAATATAGAAGCATCTATGGTCAGGTAAATATTCATCTTGTGTGATAAGGTTTCTCACATGGTCTATCAGATGCATTTGGTCTATTGGGAGCTGGTGGGCTCTGGGCCTTGAGGCCTGCTGCCTGGGCCACACCTCATTCCACCGCCATCTTTTCTCAAGTTCCCTCCTTATCCCTTGAGACAGGATCTTTCACCAAACCTGGAGCCAGTCTGGTGGCCAGAAATCCCCATTGATCCTCCTGTCTCTACTTCCTCACAGTGCTGGTGTTGGAGGCATGCACGGCTATGCCCAGTTTTTTACATTTGTGTGCATAACCCATGTATACACACACACTTCTCACCACCTCTGATGGGTGCCGTGTAAGCTCATCCTCTCCTCTAGCCCCTCCATCTGCACATGTCCCTTCCACATGGGTGGGTGACCTTACCCCTAACATCTAGCAGCCAGCTTCCCCACCTGTCCTCTGTGTCCCTGACTTGCTCGATTCATTGTGTGGATGACTGTATCAGAACTGTCTGCCCATACTCTGTGAGACAAGACCTTATCTACTAGAGCACATTGTCCTAATCTCTCAGAAAGTATCTCTGAAGCCACTAGGGTCCCCATCCATCAGGGTTCATTGCATATGTTTGTGGTGTGATGGGGTGCTTGTGTCATAGGCCGGAAAATGGGAATCTGAGGGAACTGGGGCTATTTGGGGATTAGAGATGGATGTGTTTGCTCCACTCATGTGAAGTCCCTAGACTGGTTAGATCACAGAAACAAAAAGTGGACAGTGGAGGGGCTGGAGAGATGGCTCAGCGGTTAAGAGCACTGACTGCTCCTGCAGAGGACCTGGGTTTGATTCCCAGCACCCACATGGTGGCTATGAACCGTCCTTAACCCTAGTTCCAGGGGAATCCGAAGCCCTCTTCTGACCTCCACGGCATTGCACGACACGGGTGTACTCACATACATGCAGGCAATACACTCATACATGTAAAATAATAAAGAAAATAATTTTTAAAAACCATTAAAAAAAAAGAAAGTGGGCAGTGCAACAAGGAGCTGGAGGGACAGGGACAGGCATGTCGGTGTCTAATGGGGACAGAGGTTCAGTTTTGTGAGTTGAGCAGTCCTGAGGAGTGTTGTGTTCCCATGACATGGGAGTGTGTTAATGCCATGGAACTATACCTGCAGAATATGAAAATAGTGAATTTTATGCCAGGCGTGGTGGTGCACACCTTTAATCCCAGCACTCGGGAGGCAGAGGCAGGCGGATCTCTGTGAGTTCAAGGTCAGCTTGCTCTACATAGTGAGTTCCAGAACAGCTGGGGCTACAGGGAGACCCTGTCTCAAAAAAAAAGACCAAAAAAAGAAAAGAAAATAGTGAATTTTATGTTGTGAATATTTCACAGCAAGTTTTGAAGGAAAGAAGGAAAGGAAAAGTGTCCTGATGGGGGCAGACAATGTCTCTCTACCATGTGGTTTGTGGCCCTCGAGCCTGAGCTGTAGCAGCACCTGGCAGGAGACTGGAGGAGCCATTGCCACACATGGGCACAGTCATGGTCCTCAGCCCTCCCATCAGCATTCTCAAGGCCAGATCAGTGACTGGGAAGGCAGAGTGGACATGTGGCCATGGTGCCTTAGGCTGGAAACATCAAGGCCACTGCATGAGAATGGCCGGTGCCCCAGGTCCCCACAGGTAGCCATGGTTCTTCCCTGCGAGCTGCGTCTCAGTCTCCCCACCAACCAGCTTTGTGGGGGGGAACAGAGCCCAGGTTTCGGGGTGTGTTGGGGGGTGCTCACTTGGCATAGGCTTTCTCCAGCAGCGCACTCCAGAACTCATTGTGGTCAGCTGAGTGGAGGAAGACCAGGCGGTCTCTGAAGGTGGGCAGGCGGTCGTCTATCACCACATCCAGCCACTCACTGTGTTGCCAAAACTAGTGCCCAGGGTGAGACAAAGGTTCCAAGGGTGAGTCACACGGAAATGGAGGTGTGGGCCCACTAGTAAATATTTACCTTTGTCTTCTCCCTCTGAGAAAACTGCCCTTGTATTTGGAGAAAAAACCCACCTGGTGCCATGGTAGGGCCACCTGAGCTTTGCCCACTAGGTCATATGCATATGGTGGTCTTCACTCACCATAGACACCAGTTCATGGAACTGGGGAAGAGGGAGCAGAGTCACAGTAGACACTCCTGTGCTCAGGGCTAATGTGTCTTCTCCACAAGAAGCCAGTTTAGGTGCACAGGGGGTGATAGAGTATGGGCTTGGGTCCGCTCGCACCTAGCCCAGTCTCCAGGCACACACACTCTCTTCCAGCTTTGGTGCATCACTGTCCCACATCCCCTAATCCACATTCTGAGTATGGGCTTATACGAGCATGTGCATGTGTGTGCATTGTGTTCCTTTTTAAGTGTGTGTTTGCCTGGGTGGAGGAGAGGTAGGCTGGGGAGGGGAGAGGACAGGAAGCATACCCCTGGGACAAGCCTGGCCCTGTGGCTCAGTAATGGGTTGTGTGGACTCTAACAGGATCTCAGTTTTGTGTTTTAAAGTTTCTCAAGGTCTCCACATTTGCACTCCCTCAGTAAGAAAAGCCACTCTGCTTATGAGAAATCCTCCCTAGAGGAACAGGGTGCCTGAGTGCCATCCCGTCCCTGAGGTACCCTACACTTTGCCTTTCATCCTGCCTGATGCATGGACGTCCTCCCAGGATGAGGGTATTTTCTGTGTGGTTTGGCACTGTTCCTCAGGCTCCCCTTACCTGGAAGTGGAAGATCCCAGCATAGCCAGCACCAAAATCTTGATCCTGGGGAACCACCCTGGCCAGTGCTTTCTCATTGAGTGTGAGGGAGGCAATGGCCGCCAGCAGCCAGCAATCTCCTGAAGAGTGAAGGCAGACAGGCATCATACTTTCTACCACTGATTCACAGGAGCCCGGAAGAGGCAATGCCAGAGGGGAATGGGGAATCAATCAGCTACATCTCAGCTTTTCTAAAAAAAACAATGACCCCAGATAAATCTGTCACCTTCGGCCTCCCCAGCCTGCTCATTTCCTGCCCTGCCCTGTGGTTGCTTCCTGGGCACTGTGGGCAAGGTTTACTGACTCTGATTTCAGACACGGGGCTCTATTACACTTCAGTTCAGTGGGGTCCCGGCATCCTCCCCCCCGGGGACCAAGGCTGCAGATGTGCGAAGCATCCACTTGGGCTGTGTGGTTGTGTGCATACACGTTTCACAGCAGCCCTGCAGTACTGGGAGGAGAAAGGGTAGGAAGAATACAACAGTGCCTGGCCCATTCCTGAGCTGCTGGCCTTCCTGGCCCACGCTCAGTTCAGCTATAAGCAGCAAGAGTGCCTCCCTCCTTTCCTCCCTCCCACCCTCCTTCTTTCCTTCCTTCCTGGTCTTTTTGAACAAGGTCTCATTCTGTAACTCAAGCTGGCCTGGAATTTACTGTGTAACCTTACACTCATAGCAATCGTCCTAGCTCAGCTTTCTAAGTGCTAGGTATAAGCCACTAAGCATGACTTCCATTTGCTTTCAATTATCTTTTGGTTTCAAGATTGATGACTAATGTGCCCAATTCCCCATTGTCTCTGCGCTGATGCACATCTGGAGGACAACCAAGAGGCGAGGCCAAATGCCAATGAAGTTTGGTCTGCATGGAGTCCACTGCTGAGAACTAGTGCAGTGAAGTAAGGACAGACCCACTTACCCCACAGGACAGCTTGGCTGCGTCTATATTTATTCATTTCTAGTAGACAGTGTCAACATTGCAGAGGTAACATTTCTGGAAAGCACCATGCATCCCTAGACTTGGGTCAAAAGTGGCCCTTTTCTGGCTGCTATGCACAGGTGAGAGAATCTTATGAGGACAGGTGCTTTATCTGTCCTCGGTCTGGCTTCCCTGAGGTATCACCAGTAGGTACATGTCACCCCAGCCTTGATGGGCTAGGGAGGACCAGTTTCTCACACATTGGTCTTTAGGGGTCTGGGTGCTTTGAGAGCTGCTACAAGGCACCGATATGGCTGGAAGATGACAGGGCCTTCTGTGCAACCAACTTTACCAATGATGGTGGGCATCATGCCATGCTGGGGGCAGAGATAGAGAGAGACATGGCTCCTGCACTCAGCTCAAGAGTGGCCAGAGCCAACTGGAGTCTGTCAGAGTCACTTCTGCTGTGGGCTGCCCCCCACTGCCCTCCAAGCTACAGCTTTGCTCAGTAGAGAAAGATGCATCCTTCCCTGCTAGAGATTTCCACAGCTCCAGCTAGCCAACAATGCTCTGAGCTCCAGAGTAGAACATCAGAAGACATTATTACTCATACAATTTACAAGAGATAAAAAGACTCAACAATGATTGCTGGCTGTGACTTTGTAATCGCAGAACTGAGGAGGCAAAGGCAGGAAGATCACAGGTTTGAGGCCAGCCTGAGCTACATACCAAGTTCTCTACAATATAGAGAAGCCCTGTCTCAAAAAGCAAAACCAGAAACCAATAAAAAAATCCCATAAAAAGTAACCCCACTCAGCAACAAAGCAAGTTTGCTGATGTCCCTGTTGGGCCTGAAGGGCTGGGCCTGAGGATGTGTCACTGCTGGTCAGTCATGTACCAGCTAGACGACAGCATTTAGGGTTTCAAAGGATGAGCACTGGTGGAACTGGGATGCCCTAGCTTGTACTGTGGGCATCATCTCACAGCTGTTCATTTTATCATTACCCTTCATAATTGATACATCTTCTTTGTACAGTATTTGAATGTGATAAAAGTGCTACAAAGTAATATTTAGAGTCAATCAACTTGAGGCCCACCCTATAATTGCAATACATGTTCACAGCAACGGGAAATACCACACTGAAAACAAAGGGATCTAGCAATGGTTCTGCACTGAATAGCTATGCAGGACTTCAGGGATGATGAGGTAGGCCTGAGAAGTGGGGCAAGAGGGGGACAGCAAGGAATCTTCCCCCACAGGCTGACTTCAGTAAAAGAAAGCTGTTTGGAGGTAAGCTTTTGATAAGTCCAAGTTACACCTAGAAAATGTAATTCTGTCTACATCTATGATCGATATATCCAGAGTCCATCCGTACCGCTACCTCTCTTCCTTCCTGTCTGTCATACATCTGCTGTCCATATGTATATCCATTCATGTGTCCATCCATCCATCTATCCACCCATCACCCATTCACTCATCCATCTATCATCGATCTATCCACCACTCATCCACCTACACATCTATTTGCCTGTTATCTATTTATTCATCAATCTATCATCTGTATAGAAATTATATATCATACCTATCACCTCTATCCTCTATTTACTTATCTATTTACCTATATGTGATCTATCTATTGATCTTTTTATGGTATATCAACTTATCTTTCTATCATCTATTTACCTATCTGTCATCTATCAATCATATATCATATCTATCATCTATAATATCTATCATCTATTATCTATCCATTTATCTATCATCTATCCATCATTTATCTATCTCTATAATCTCTCTTCTATGTACTTTCTTCTATTTATCCTTCCTTTCTCTCTCATCTATCTATCTATCTATCTATCTATCTATCTATCTATCTATCTATCTATCATCTAGCTCAGTCTAGTTAACTGTCATGAGTCTAGGCAGCTGGACTTGGGATTCTGTTTGAAGACAGCTCAGGTTCTCACTATGAGACTGCAGATGGCCTATTTTAACCATTAGGTCACAGTGACAGCTTGGGTTCTGAATGGGTTGGGCTACACAAGCTAGCCGTGTTTTCCTCTATGGCATGTTTTAAGTACTCTGTTTTTCATAGAAGCAGTAAGGGTAAGTCTTGCCCAGTTTCACACAGGACTGACTTAGCTGTTGTGACCCACTAGGGTCCCTTGTAGGAGGGAGATGCTGTGAGCTCCAGGGCCAATATGGTGTGATGGTTAGAAGTAGTGTTTCTGTAGCTAGACTGTAGCTTTGAACTCTGACTATCCATCTGTCATTTGTGACCTTGGATCAGTTGTTTGCTTCCCTTGCCTCAGTTTCCTCATCTGAGATACTGGGAAGGTGGCTTGGGAAGAATAGAGGTATGTGAACTTAGGGGAGTAGCTAAAGGTGAACAGGGTAGGCATATACCTCTTAGGTGTAGGCATCAGTGTGCCATGAGGCCAGGAGTCATGGGAGGGGAGTCACAGGGTTGGGAGTCCCTGCATCGGACATCACTTTAAGAGGAGCCCCAGCTCTCCAGGAACTCCCTGAAGACCCAGGACCCAAACACATTGTCCCCAGCAAAACAGGAATACCGAAGGCAGGAAGGCCACTGGGCGCTCTTCAGGGAGGGCAGCTGTAGACTAGGGAGGGAATGGCTGGGGGCAGTAGGCTTGATGTCTCCAGCCCTGTGCCCTGGTCTTTGAGGGCCTGTGCTGTTCCAGGGGTGGCTGTCAGAGTGTCTTCTGGGTCACCTCTTGGTAGCCCCACCTCTCCCCACTTACCCAGTTCCCCCTGACAGATGTCAGTCCTGGTGGCCCCTCCAAGAATGAATTCTGGGTTTTGTACGAGTTCCTGGAGGAGCAAGAATATTCATAGGATGAGATCCACAGCATAGTGACCACAACAGAGAGAAGGGCACAGACCTCCCCATGCTCCCATTTGAGAGGAAGACTCTTCATGCATTTGATTTCCTCAGCTGAGGGTCAGGAGGAGGTGAAAGGCTGCCAGAGCTCCATGCTCTGACCCTCCTGGGCTTGACTGAGTCCCTCTACAACCTGCCCCTGGGGGGCCATCCTAGCTCTAGTGCCATCCTCTGTAGAAACTCACACCATGCCTGGCCAGGAAGTGGGCTGTCTGCCATGCACCAAACGTTCTGCCTCACTCAGTCCCTGACCCAGCACAAAAAGTGCGGTGCATGTGGCCCCTCACCATGAGAGCTGCCACCTATAGGCCCTCAAACTCTTCACATAGTGAACAAGTGATGTGGCACCTCAGGCAGGTGTCTCCATGCCCCACCCAGGTGCATTCTTTTTTCAAATATATTTTATATATCTGCACTACACAAGGAGAGCTATGTGCATGTCACTCATAATTTTATCCACATGCACTATGTACATTTTATTATACATTATCCATTACTATATATTCAATTTTGTATATTATATGTGCATTGCTGTAATAATTAACATTTAATATCTAATATAGAGAGTTCCATATAAAGTACTTAGAAGTGTTGGAAAGTACTTATATAAAATGTACATATTTGAGAACAGGCTTAAGATGTCACAACAATGAGGTCAGAAAGCATCAGGCAGGAGTCTGCAGTATTTGGCCTCCTTGGAACAGCACAGCAGAGTTCTGAGGACCCCACACAGCAGATGAAATAAACAGGCTCAGAACAAGCCTTTTCTGATCATTATCCCCCTGACCCCTGATCCCCAGTGCTGAGGATGGAACCCGGGGCTTCATGCACTCTAAGCAAATGGGCTACATCTCCAGGCTTTTTGTTTTATTTTTTATTGTGAGACGGGGTCTCACTAAGTTGCCCAAGCTGGCTTTACACCCCCAAGTATAGCCCAGACTGGCCTTGAATTTGTGTATTCTTCCTGCCTTGGCTCTCTTCTGTCGTTTTGAGTATCAGGTTCTATCCCTAGCACTGGAGTTCAGCACAGGAGAGAGGGAGAGGGAGAGGGGGGGGAGAGGGAGAGAGAGGGAGGGAGAGGGAGGGAGAGGGAGGGAGAGAGAGAGAGAGATCAGCTAGCCTTATAAGGGCTGGAGTAAAGTAGATGGGAGTGACTGGGAGGCCTGGAGAAGACTAAGGTGAGCAGAGACCTAAATGTGGGAAGGAAGGAGTCTGTGGAGGTCCTGGAGAGGAAAAATCACATCCTGAGGCTGAGAGAGAGGCTCTGGACACAGAGGACTTCAACTGGATCAGGGTGACACCAGGGAGGAAAGGATTGGTAGAGTAATTATCAGACCTCAGAGTGCAGAAGGGGCCAGGGCTGGGACATAAAGTCTGTCCAGTGAGCCTCTGGCTTGATGTTCTGAGTAGCTCCAGCTGTGATGCCTCTCACTAGAGGCCTGAGTTGACTACCCTTACCTGCCAGGACCCTGCTTCCTCCCTAAGTCCCAGGGAGGTGATGGGGGTAGGAATTCCTTCAAGGCCAAGGGCTTCCTGGACAGGGCTGAGTTGAAAACTGGTGGCTCTTCATGAGGCCCTCTAGGATGCCCAGGAAGGACTGTGCATTTATTTGTTACCTTGGAGGGAGGGTTTCTGGGACAGGCTGTGCTGCCCGCTGTGCCAGAAGCCCAGGCCAGGCAGGAGGACAGCAGGAGGCTGGCTTTCCCCTGAGCCCTTTCACAACCTTACTTTCCTGCTCTCAGCACAGCAGCCTCAGAGTCTCTCCATTAACTGACCCTGATCTCCCATGCCCAGAGCAAGCAGCAAGGCACTGGGCAGCAACACCACACCTGTGTCCCAGTGTGGCTGTGCAACCTTCTCCATCTGTACAGCCAGGAGCACTGCCGATTCCATCTCTGCAACCTCTCCTCCCTGGCTGGAGTCTAGCTCCAAGCCCAGCTTAGCATGCCCTTCCCCTACTCCTGCTCACATCTCCCTCCTCTCAGGGCTTCCATCCCTGGGTCCCCTGAGGGCCAGTCTGGCTGCCCAGCTCCTGTGATGTGGTGTTGGCTTTGTGTCTCCTACCTCAAGCACATCTGTGTTTAATGAGAAGGCAGGCCACCCCACCCATAGCCCACAGGGCAGCTCAACATTTGCTGCTGAGATGCGCTCTATATAAGGGCTGCACCCAGACACCAGCCTTCTAGAGGGTGGCAGTTCAGTGTCTCCCAGGACCTCTGCCCTGAACCAGGCCTTGCGCCTCCACCTCACCAAGGTAAGAGGAAGCACAAGGCTCACGGGTACTTCGTTGCTGATTTTACAGATGTCTGTAGGAGTGAATGCAGAGCACAGACTGTCTGACTAGGTCAATGTGCAGGGAAAGGGACAATACTGGTCACACACAGACTAGAGGACAGGTTCAGTTCTGGAAGAATCCATAGAAGGGGGCTCAGACAGGAGACGAGATGATGAACTACAATGAATATGAAGATGGCTCAGCCCTAGCCTCAGCCAGGGAGGGCCCAGCACTGGGACTGGGGACACCTTTGCAAGGGATATATGGCAGACACTTTGGAGGGGCTGTGGATCAGGACCCTGGCCTGCAGGTCAAGGCTTCCCCAAGGTTGGGCAGCTCTGGGTGGGGATCAATGGCACAGGTGTCAGCCTCTGGGACTGATGGCTGAGACTTAGAATCGCTGTGGCTCTTGGTGGCCCCCACTCCAGGAGGGGAGACAAAGGCTTGTGGGCTCCAAAGGAACATGACCCCCTGTATGTTAGCATAGTGTAGGACTAGCCCTCCTGGACACCTGGATATTAGCATAGGCGAGAGGCTGTTCACCACTGGATAAACTGCACTGTACCCAGTCTGAGCTGCCAGTGCTCATTTGTGCTGGTGCTGAGGCCTAGAAACAAACCCCCAAGGACACAGGGCTGCAGCAGCACCCTCAGAGCTACTGCCCTGTCTCCTTGGACTTGTTGTGCCTTTTCATGTTGGAAATGTCCTTTCTCTTACTCAGCAGAGAGCAATCTACTCATCCACCAACAGGACTCACAAGCACCTGCCTCACTGCCACTGGCCACACACAGAAAACTAAACCCACTTACAGTGGTTTTAGATCATCATGAGAGATATCCTGGGAGCCTGCACCCCGGCCCACTAGGACCACTCGATGATATTTATGGTTCTCTGCATAGAAGACACCAAGACAGCACTCAATACTGCATGCTTCTATGAGGACCACTGCCTCACAGATGGAAGCCAGTGAAAGTTTGTGTGGTGTACAAACACACACACACACACACACACACACACACACACACACACAGAGGACATTGTCCAGGACGGGAAATAGCAGGGTGTCCTTACTACTTCCCAACAGCCTTTGAGGAGTCCATGTGTCTTGTGTAGACATTTTCTAAAAGTAGACATATCATGTGTTTAACACATTCACAGTACTTTAATGGTGAGCAATGGGAAGAGGTAGTGATGATGAGTAAGATGAGATTTGGAGGCTAGCAAGGTGGCACAGTGGGTAGGCCTGAGGGCCTGAGTTTGATCCCTGACTCCCACAAGATAGCAGGGGAGAACCAATTCCAACAAGTGTCCTCTGACCTCTACATGTGCGGTTCCACATGCATGTGTTCACACATACTGATATACTAACTAAAATGGGGCAGCAGGATGGCTCAACGAGTAAAGGTGATTGATTGCTGCCGAGCCTGATCGTACAAGTTCAATCCCTGGGACCCATATGGTGGGAGGAGAGAACCAACTATAGCGAGCTGTCTTCTGCCACACAAGCACTGTGGCATGTGCATGCATACACACATATGCACACACACAGAGATACACATGAGATTCCAAGCTTCTAATGATGGAGAAGCCCACAGCAACAGTTCCAGCAGCAAATCTGTGGTTTACTGAGAACACCTGGGTGCTGGCCTGAGCCCTACCTCAGTCATCTCCAGGTGAGGTGATGCCCCACCTTTAGGCCCAGCACCTGTGCACTGCCCCTCCTTGGACACACATGTCCTTACCCACCCCATGGCACTGGGTCACAGGGAGGACCCTAGATAACCAGGTACTGCAAGAAAATATTGACCTTGTGTCCTGGGCACCATCTGGTGCCTTCTGGAGACATCACCTGTAGCCTGTTGGCGGGGTGGCCTGGCCCCTCTTAGAGGGGGTGCATGACTGTGGGACGGCAGCACTACTTTAGCTGTGGGCTCAGCCGTCGCACACCTGCTAAGAACTAGTGCAAACATCTGTCTGTCTGGTGGTGCCTCCTGGGTTCTGGCCCAGAAGCTGCAGAGAAGGGCTGGCTGTCCTCTTAGAGGACTTCACACTCTCACCTGGCCCTGCAATCCTGGCTGGTTTGCCCTTGTGTTGTGGTAGAGCATATCACCTGGGATTTGTCCTTAGGTTAGAGCTCTGATCCTGCTCACAGTCCATAGTTGAGACCCTCTCTGTCTACAATCCCAGCTTCAGTGAGACTTGGAGTTGGAGGCTAGAGCATTGTGGCCAGACACCCTGCAGTCTCCAGCCAGAGTCTTTGCCATTTCTCCACAAAGCCTCCCACAATAAACCAGAAAGTTCACCACAGTGGGCTTGCATGTGGCCAGCTTCTCCCTTGCATGCTCCCCAGGGCTGCCCCCATCCCGAGCCACCTGTGTCCCTACCCTTCTTACCCCACTCACCCCTGGCCGTTTCCACACGAAGGGGACCTGGGGCCTCTCACTGTAGAACAGGGAGGTGTTGCTGGCAGGGAAGTCCGAATCCTCAAACAGGGTGCCTGACTGCAGGCAACCTTGCCTCAGCTGCTCGAAGCTCTGACCTGAGGAGTGGGTGATCTGGGCATCCCTGGGAACTGGGTGCAGCTGGGGCTTTAGGGACCGATGGAAGTAAGGCATGGCTGCTTCTCTGCAGTCTTCTGAAGGGAGAGGCTGTGAAGAGGTAGGCAGTGAGTGACCAGCAGAAAGGAACAACCAGGGGCTCTGACCCTGGCCTCTACCTATTTTCTGGGCACCTCCCTGTGAGATGAGATGGGGCCCTCCCAGATGGCAAATACTGAGCAAGCCTTCTGCCCACTTCAGGGAACCAGAGGCAGCTCTGGGACACAGCCAAGTCTGATCCGAGGAAGCAACTCTGACTGATACACTAAGGAGTCCCAGAGGGACAGGGCGGGGAGGGCGTTTCATGGGGAAAGCGAACCAGACTGGTTCAGGGGTGGTGTGGGGTCTGGAGTCACAGCTCTCAAGCAGAGTGGCAGCGCTTTGGGGTTGGAGTGAGCTGTGTGAATCACAGTGGCACAGTGCAGGGGGACAGAGCTCACTGGGAAAGTAATCCCCTCCTGACTTAGAGTCGGGCCTGGCAGTCTCTTCTGTCAGATGTTTGGGTGTGTGGGCCATGCAGTCTGTATTCCAGCCACCCACTTGACTGTGATAGTCACCGAAGCAACTGTGTGGACACAGGATGGGGCTGTGACCCTAGCAAGCCTTTCCTGTGGCGCTGGGGAGTTGGCTCAGTTGGTAAGGTGCTCATTGCACAAGCATTAAGACCTGAGTTTAATCCACCAGAACCCAGCAGAACCTGGCTTTTTAAAGTTGAACCAAGCCTCTAGGCATCTCAGAAGTAGAATTAGGCATTGTCTGGCCCAGCTTCTCTTCCTGGAGTCAGGATGGCAGGATCTGAGAAGCTGGCAGAGAGACAGTCTGTGACAGGGTATGGCAGAATCTCCTTGTACAAGGTAGCCCCTGGGAATTGCCAACCAAGCAGCCATCCGTGATGAAGATGACTCCTGACCCCATGGTGTCCTCAAGAGGCCCCAATCAAATGGATGTGTAAGAAATAGGGCTTGGTGGGTTGAAGAGATGGCTCAGGGGTTAACAGGACTGGCTGCTCTTGCAGAGGACCTATGTTCAGTTCCCAGGACCCACTTGACAGCTAACAACCATCCCTAACTCCAGTTCCAGGGGATCTGACACCCTTCTCTGATGTCCCTGGGCATTGCATGACACAGGTGCACTGGCATACATGCAGGCAATACACTCACATACATAAAATAAAGATAATAAAATAAAAGTTTGTTGTTGTTGTTCTTTTTGAGACAGGGTCTCCCTGTAGCCCCAGCTGTCCTGGAACTCACTATGTAGACCAGGCTGGCCTTGAACTCACAGAGATCCACCTGCCTCTGCCTCCCGAGTGCTGGAATTAAAGGTGTGCGCCACCACGCCCAGCCTAATAAAATATTTTTTAAAAAAAGAAATAGGGCTTGGGCTATAGCTCAGTTGATGGAGTGCTCGCATGAGGCTGTGGGTTTGCTACCCAGAACAACATAAACCAGGAGTGGTGGTGCATGTCTGTAACCCTAGCACTTGAATGATGGAGGCAGGAGGATCAGAAGTTCAAGGTCTTGGCTACATAGCCTGGGCTAGAGATCATGTTTTAGAAGA